TTTCCTCGCAATCTGTTACGGTCAATTGGCCGTAGTGTGTCCGTAGCCACAGCTCCAGCAACTTCTTGTCCGTCCACTGCGGGGACACAGCAGCAGCGTCTGTAGACATTGCGGTATATGGATGGCTGAAAAGTAATATTATTCACTCGTTTTTAAGTCGCTTCTTTAATTATTAGTTACATGGGGCGCATTTACGTAATTGAACAACACTCTAGTAACCGCAAAGCTGATCCCTACCGCTGGACACTGATATACCCTATCATAGTTGTTAGCTGTCCGTCCGTCTGAATATACTGATCGTTCTGTCAGTCTGTAACCTCGATAGCAGTAACAGGAATGTAGAGAAAATTGAATTATCAAGAGTTTCGTAATTTGTACTCCTCGCAAAATATTATTAGGGTACTAGAATCAAAGAGAATTTGCAGGACACATGTAACGTATACGGATGAAATGAAAAATAAATAAAACGTGTTAGCAGAAATTTTTTGAGAGAAGAAATAATTTGGGAGACCTGGAATTAGATGGAATATTAAGCCTATTAGAAAAACTGGATCTTCAAGAAACAGATTATAAGAGGATGGACTGTATTTGTCCTGATCAAGTTAGGGACCAATGGCTGGCTACTGTGAACAAAGTGAACAAACCTTGGGTTTCCGTAAAATCCGTCTAATCTCTTCAGCTACTGAATTATTATTAGCCTCTCAAGAAGACTCTCCTCCATGGAGTGAGAAAGAATTATACAGGTTTTCTATACGTTTCGTGTCTTCAAAAAAACAAAGTTTCGGACTCTAGAAACTGACTGGACCTTCTCGTAATGAGAACGAAAATCTAAAATGCGAGGAATATCTTCAAATCTTGAACTACTGGTGAGTACTGACACACAAAAATATTATTAAGAGTCAATATGAAATCTCTAGAACACTGAGGAATTCAAATTAAGAGCCAATAGTATTAGCACATTTCAGGTTCAACCCTAAAGATTGAGGCAATACGTTCCTTTGATACGTCATTAACCACCTAGAAATCTATATATCGCACGAGCCCCGTGATATCTCACGCTATTCTTACCTGCTCCTGACAGAGGAAACAATTCGTTCTCTCTTCACTGCCGATCTCTCGAAACAAACTCACAATGAGCTGCTATATATATATAATATATGACGCGGTTGCAAATTCTGGCAGAATAAAATCACATGGCATTTTTCAGATAAGAAAAATGGGTTATCTGTATCTGCAAGTAACTATAAATTTGTCACGCCGACTTTGTGATTGTTCTCGGTTTGAAAACTGTGTTGCATAAATACTCAGGCGCCCTTAGTAGCCACTGACACAACTTTGAGCGTATTTATCAATGTCTCATGGGTTTTGTCCGATTTAATGCAATTTATGATAATGCTTTTCATATAAATTACGCAATATTTATTTTGGGCACTGCTAAAAGTTAAATCATTGTGAATTTAAAAAAGGGGTTCGAAGACAATAGGACTGTTATTTATCTTTGCATTAATTTCAAGATAATTAAAATACAATAAAGGACACTATAAATTTACCTTCCTGACATATTTGCATTCTTTTCTTTTGTTGTACAGTGATTAGTGTTTTCCAGACTCTTTGTATCCGAGACAGAATATCCCTGCCTTCATCTTTACTCCTGCTTCGTATTTAGGACGTCGCGTATTCAAACACTCAGCGATCGTTTCCTAACCTTGGCCCTTACAGGCAACGCTTCGTAACTCCTAACTGCCCTGTTAGAAAGCTAGACAGTCTCAGCACATTTTATACCACATTAAAATTAATAAAATAACCACAAGAAGGTAAGACAGTGTTAGTTGATTCGTAGAATATTTGACGAATCTGCATCAGTTGTTAAATTATTATTATTATTAAGGGACTATCCAGAAGTCAATCGAGGCATATTTTAAACAGTGTAGATTGATGAATAATAATACTAATAATAATAATTCGATAACTGAACAATCAGGTCTGGACAACCTGACAAGAAACTGGGTGTTTCTTTATATGTGAACTTATTTTTACGCTGGCCTTGTAATCCTGGGGTCTCGGGTTCGATTCCGGGCGGTGCCCGAATTTATAACTTGTGTTTGGCAAGGCCGTGGTCTAGGCAACACGGAGTTTTCCTCCGGGGGCTTCCCCGGTTTCTCCGTGGCATCCCAACAATTACTCCATTCACACACAGAAGAAGGCAATGGCAAACCACGTCTGGATCATCTGCCAAGAACGTATATGAACAGATCCCAGTCCGAGAAAAGGATGGAAGAAGGATCCTGTTCATATGGACCTGACCTGTCGTCACTCTATTCACACACAGAAGAAGGCAATGGCAACCCACTTCTGGATCATCTGCCAAGAACGTATATGAACAGGTCCCAGTCCGAGAAAAGGATGGAAGGATCCTGTTCATATGGACCTGTCGTCAGACAGAACATTACAAATAAAATAAATAACTGAGCCTGAACATAGTCCTTACTTCAAGATGATCAAATTAAACAGTCATAAGAAGCTCTCGCTCGAAAATAGCTGAATATAATAGGATTCGAATGAGTACACAGATGTGCTAAAGAGAATACGTGCGATATCACAAGGTTATAAATATTATGTGAATGTAGGTTTTGTTGCGAGGTAGATGTTTCTAAATGTTGGACTTTCTAAGAAATCTAAACACACCCCTGTGCTCATAACTTACTTTAATGACTGACATCCCATTATTCTAAGAGACCCACTTTTATATTATTTCCCCATCTTGTTCTATACTAAATTAACACATAATAACATACTATATTATAACATGGCACCGTAACATTTTATGTGACGTGATATATAAAATGATGTTATAATGGCGCAAGACGTATTTGAAATAAAAAAACGCTGTAAAATTTATGTCACAGATGGTAATACAGTCACGCACCATCACCACCCTTACTAAGCGAGGGACAGGTTCTACGTATTTCCATTTTATAGGTCGATCTCATTGTCTAACGAGGTTAATAATAAGATAACAATTTATCACTTCTTCTCTACGATTACGTGTCTGTTATTTGAGACGTATGTCAATGTCGTTTGGTGTCAGTGCTAACTACGACCCTTGAACTCCTAACAGCAACCAGTGTCATGGATTTTATTTATTTTATTTAGTGTTCTGTCTGACGACAGGTCCATATGAACAGGATCCTTCCATCCTTTTCTCGGACTGGGACCTGTTCATATACGTTCTTGGCAGATGATCCAGAAGTGGTGTGCCATTGCCTTCTTCTGTGTGTGAATGGAGTAATTGTTGGGATGCCACGGAGGAAAACTCCGTGTTGCCTAGACCACGGCCTTGCCCAACACAAGTTATAAATTCGGGCACCGTCGGGAATCGAATGGATATGCAAACAATAAGACAGAATTGATAACTCACTGGCATAAATACTGGTTACAATGCGACGTACGGTAAAAATACCTGTTCCATTTTGGTATACGAGGTCAAAATCAAAAAATGTATTTTGTGGAGCTGAAAATGTATACAATAAATGGGATGATGGTTTGGAAATTTCTTTAATTATTTAAATTCCAAACGCAGTTATTATCTGTTCTAGACAAGAAATGAACACGAAAATTTTTAATAAACACCAAATGTGTGTTGCAGTAAACTTGCCTGACTACAGCCAAATAAGGCCGATTACAGTCTAGTACTAAACGAATAATAGATGTTAGGAATAAATTATATAATAAAATTTACAAATTATGTAAGAGTTAAAAATAAGATTAAGAACTAAAAAATTTGGCAATGGACCCACGGTTCCGGAGAATTTGACGTAAATACGTCTATACGGAAAGGAAGTTTATATATTGGCTTTATTCTAAATATTTCCTTTATACATGCTTTACATTTGAGATAAGTTTGATTAAGACATTGATTATTTAACTTGAATTAGTTACGCTTAAGATGGGTCTGTGGTAGCTGAATGTAATGTAAAGTAATGTAATGTAATGAAATGTTTTATAGGTAACAACAATGCCGAGTAAACAGATGAGGTTTCCTAAGTAACATAACAATGAAGTTACACTTTTTCGTAACACTTTTTCGTAACACATTTTTGCCGAATGACACTGACCCTAAAATATAGACGTATTTACGTCAAAAAACATACTCCAAATGTATCATAAAACCTACACAATACGCACAAAGAAAATTCTAAGAAGTATAATTATACGTAAGTTATAAAATATCCGTAAGCAAAATATAATTTTTGTTTGTCAGCTTCCCGTCTAATTTCAAACTCAGCCTTGTTATAAAAACTTCAATGTTCATCCCTCTGTACAGTAGACCTTATTACGGTACAAATTTACAGCTGTAAGTTAAGTTAAGGCGGTCGTAACTTGGTCATACCCAAACACTTGCTGGAGGAACTGAGGAAAATGTTATTCAGTATTGTCGTCAGCGACCAAGATTCGAATCGTATACCTGCAACAACCGCTGAGCCAAGTGGCGACACCATTTTGATTTAAAACATCTTATCTTATGTGATGGGCGGGGCATGTAACACGCCTGGTGAGATGAGAAATTTGTACAAAAATTTTTGACGAGAAGAGACCTTGGTGTAGATGAGAGGACAATATTAAAATGTATATAAATAAAATACGATAGGGGTGTGGATATAATTAATTTATCCCAGAATAGGATCCAATAAACACAGTAATAAAACATTGTGTTTCTTAAAAGATATTAAACTTCTTTCCCAGCTGACGGATTATCAGCTTCTCAATAAGGACTTTGCTTCATGTAGTTAGTTAATTAGAAGCTTTATAGATTACGTTACAGAACGTTAGAAAAGTGATGGCGTAGAAATCCTTGGTATTATAACACAGCAGAACATAATCGACACACATTCACTGTCTCTAAAGATAAGTATTATCAACTGTTCACTGTAGCTCGTTCGGTCATGAGGGTATCGATATATTACAGTTGTAATCACGGCATCGATAGTTCTCAGTGAAGACAGCCATGACATTGATGTTACGCTGTTGTATTTTGTATTGTCCTTACATTCGATTCCAGACTATTCCCGAAGGATGAGTCGGGATAACGCAGGCAGTAAAGTGACTAGGTCCTGGGTGACTCCATTATCAAAATTTGTAAGACAAATACTGTCAGACACGAAAGTGTTCACGGCCTATTTTGAGGTTAGGTCCCGGCATGCATCTGGTGGACGGAAATGGACTGAAATCTCCAGCACACGGTTCAGTGACAACCGAACAGATAACCTCGTGAATATAAGCAGCTTTTATGTTATTCTCCTGAAAATTCTCGAGGCCCGAGTTTTATCCTAAATGATAACCTTGTTTTAAAATATTGGACGATAAAACACAGCATATAAATTCAAAGTCGGTACTTTAATTTAGTTACGAAATTTATTTCATATTTTTATTTATGATTGTTTAATCTTAACCGTCTAATCACAATAAAATATTTTATTAAATATTAAAATATTATTATTACAATTAACATTTAATATATTTAAAATATATTAAAATATATTAAAATGATGCTCTTTCTAACGAAATGTTCGATTTACAACTAGAGCATCATCTTTTTCACGACATGTTTCGGTTTTCAAGGAACCATCTTCAGGTGTATAATCAATATAAATTTAAATGTAATATTCTAAATGCAATCCTTCGTCAGATGTCCATTAAATATCGGAAAGTTATTTATGGTTTGTTTAACGACACTGTAAGTAGCTCAGATTATATGCAGTAGAAAAACACATGATAATAAAATTAATACATAATTGGGAAGGAAGCGGTAATTGTCGAATTGGAGGTATTATTAAAGCATATGCCTGAAACCGGGCCTAGATGAACACTGGACCTCCCAAATACACGACTGCGAAGATCGGTACCAAGGAAATTAAATAAATAATCAAGGGGTTCACTTTTTAATTTCTGTCAAACACGCCTTTGCTCTCAAGCAGTGGTAGGAACCACCTGACTACCGCCTTGTAATTTTCGCCGTACATACAGGGTCCGGGATTCGAACCCGTGTCGATTATGTCATCAAAACTGAAACCATACTCTGGTTCACTTTGCATGATGGCGTATGGCGCTATCATTGAGTAAAGCCCGTAAATCATTTTCCTGTCAAAATCTTCCCGCAGTTTCTCCAGGCTTATCGGCGTCGGTGTGTAGCCCAGAGCGTTCAGAGCCTCGCACAAAGCGATGTGATACTCCTGAAAACAAAAGTGTTACCCTCCCGTCATCTGGAACTTACATTCCAAAATATTACCAATCAACACAGTATACGAGGTGCGATCGGAAAGTTTCGAGACTGCGCGTATAAAAACCCGTACACTTATCTCAGGTATTAAATTCATCCATCACCCTCGAAGTAGTTCCCCTGGGAGTGAACACAACGATCCCAGCGCCGCTGCCAAGCCTGCTTGACAGGCTGACAAAGAAAAATTTCCAGGGATGCTTCCAGGCTTGGCAGCGGCGCTGGGGTCGGTGTGGTCACTAAAAATGGCTGAACCTCTGTCGATGATGACGAGCGTTCTGGACGACCATCTTCGAGCACAACGCCCGAAACTGTTACGAAGATCGACGTCGTACCATCACCGACTTGTGCGACATTGTTGGGATAGGCTATGGGGCCTGTCAGCTGATTCTAAAGGAAGAACTCCACATGCGACGCATCCTGTCTGAGGACCAGAAGCAGAATCGACTTCTCGTTTGTCAGGAGCTCAAAGATCTTGCAAGAACCGACCCCAACTTCCTTTCTAAGGTTTCCTCTTCTCAAAGATGAAAATTCAGCTAAAGGGGAGGAGATTTGAGACGATAGAAGAGATTCAGACAGAATCGCAGATGGTGCTTGGCAGGCTGACAAAGAAAGATTTCCAGGGATGCTTCCAGGCTTGGCAGCGGCGCTGGGATCGTTGTGTTCACTCCCAGGGGAACTACTTCGAGGGTGATGGATGAATTTAATACCTGAGATAAGTGTACGGGTTTTTATACGCGCAGTCTAGAAACTTTCCGATCGCACCTCGTAAAACATATACCGGGTAGCTAGAAGACGTGATTTTTTTTAAAAAAAATAGCGGCTAAAGGATTTGAATGAAACTCATAAATGTTGTATGGAACATTGCTAGGTTTGCGTACAAATGATAGGAAATTCATTCAAAGGTCCATCACCTTTTTCACAAGGAACCGCCATCAGACCGAAGTATCGTAATTCAACAAGAAAGCGTCCCCGTAACTTACTTCATAAATAATTTTTAATATTATTCTTTCATCTATTACTGATATAATGGCGCTACGTTAAATAAATCCAGAAATTTTGTGTATAACCGAGTCTCGTCATTATGGGATACTTTTCTGGATCATCCCGAATAAAACGCTACTCACTTGTAGGAGTTCCTGCTCATGTTCCATGCGCACCTGCAACGTGGTACTGGTAGCCATGAAGTAATGCAGGTCTATCACAGGCGACGTGAAGTGGGACATTTGGAAGTCAACAAGGCGGACTTCATTCGTGTGATCTCGGAACAATATGTTATTCACCCACAGGTCTCCGTGGATTAGCACGTTAAAATCCGCCTCCTCTCGCCTGACTGCCTCCTGAACACGCATCAAAAGTAAGTTGGCGTTGTCCCGCAACCTGTCGGCGTAGGTCCTCCATTCATCGGACCACGAGTCCAACTCCTCCGCCAGAGTTCTCGACATTCCTTCCGGGCGTACAAGACAGAGTGTTAATTTTTAATGTATCCACAAAAGTATGAAAAAAAAATCAGGAAATGCCAGAGCTTATCCAGACTCGATATAAAAAATAATGCCTAAGAAATCTGTTTGCAAGCCTGTGGTTCAATTGTGCTTTCGACTATAAAATGCGATTCATTCTGGCCTCCAGTGGACATCTAAATATCTTCCCTGCTTTCACTTTCCACTTCAGAAAGTCTCCCGTCATTCAAATCAATCAGGACAATGGTGACCCCAAGAGGATTTACAGGATTTTCCTTTCTTATACAATATATTCAGTGAAAAATATATTCTTTTCCTTGGGTATAATGTTTGCCGCACGAATTTCATAAGAAATTGTAAGCTTCGTATTTAGACATCGTCACAATAGAAGACCTCCTGCCCTGGTTGAGGTTTTAGTTGTATTCCTCAGTCTCTACAGGTGAATGGCGACATAGTACCTTAAATTAGGCCATGGCTTTTGCTTATATATCATTAATTATCTTCACATTTGAAACCATACTTCCTGAGCAATGGTAGCTTCGTTAAATAATGTGAGCGGAATGTGACAAATGGATGGTTACATGCCAATTGCATGTTTTTGTATATCAGGAACAAATAAATAACACCAAGATCATTCTGGTAATGATGATAAATAAGCAATACAGTGATCTATAAACAGTGTACGAACCTGAGGAAAATAGCGGCCATGTTTTCGCTACGACAGGGTCACTGTAGAAGCTGACTTCATATTCTTTCATGGAGTCCGGGTCTTCTTCGTGCAGAAGAACGGAGGCTGCGTGGAACTTGGCCAGAGAGCGCATGACCAGCAGACAATGGTCCAAGTCCAGTCCTTGTAACCGGTCCAGCATCCTGAATCCTGCTGTAGACAGGTCCTCCAACACCAAGAAACTCTCACAGGCGTAGATGCACTTCGGCGCCAGTGGTTTGAAATTTCCTGCGAACAGGATCTTCCAAGACTGCAGTAGCGAATCATGTTTAGAAAAACACATTCGTCATCATAGGAATCACTTTTATCTTCAGAACTGTTTTTAACTGAGGTCTCGGGTTCGATTCCCGGCGGTGCTCGAATTTATAACTTGTGTTGGGCAAGGCCGTGGTCTAGGCAACACGGAGTTTTCCTCCGTGGCATCCCAAAAATTACTCCATTCACACACAGAAGAAGGCAATGGCAAACCACTTCTGGATCATCTGCCAAGAACGTATATGAACAGGTCCCAGTCCGAGAAGAGGATGGAAGGATCCTGTTCATATGGATCTGTCCTCAGACAGAACACTAAATAAATAAAAAATATACTAATAAATTACCCGTCAAAAACGATGAAAAAATCTAAAGTAGTACGAAGGCAATCATAAATACTATCCCAAATCACCTTAACAACATACACATGACAGCTGTTATCCCATAAGACCCAAAATCCCCAATAAATAATCGCCTTCCAACAAAGACAGAATACATAAGGTCGAGAATCCCTTAACAGGAGGGCGATCATCGCCCTAATGATGGAGAACGAAGCCAATATCATCTTTCATTGACACTTCATCAACGACAATTTTAAGGATGCAACAAAAGTGTAAACTGTGTAAAACGACCTGAAGATGATACTGACACTGCAGGTGTCGAAACATGCAGCTGTTTTGTAATAAAATTGTTGCCAGCAATATTTTTTCAACATAATAGAAATACTTTAACAACGTACCAGGCATTGCTTTGTACAGCAAAGCATGCAGCTTGGGCAACGTGACGGCGTACAATTCCTGCTCCTTTCTGAAGATGCTGCTCTCTTTCATAACGCTGGCCGTCGGTCCTTCTTCCATACGACTCTTAATCAGAAGGTAGTGGGAATCCCCGCCCGGTGTCCTAGCGACCATACGATGCATAACGCTCATGTAGTTGTCCCCCGTGGACGAGGCGTTCTCCACCTCACATTCCGCCACGGCCACTTCGCCGTACTGTGTCCGTAGCCACAGTGCCAACAGCCTTTTGTCCATCCACAGTGGCGACACTGGAGTTTCTATTATTGACATCGCGTTTCCTAGGATACAGACAAATTTAAATAATTGTTGTTTTCTACTACTAAGCACTCGTCGCCCTGATGATGGAGACAGTAAGGACCTCTGAGACGTTGGTGAACTTCTACCAGACTATATACGACGCTACCACCCAGAAGACAACCCTTCAGCATTTTCGCTAACACCCTGTTATATAGATTTTCGTTTATGCGTAAATACAGAGATACCTACACATAGAGGGTTGTAAGGGTTAAATCGCTCTCTGGAGTGTCTGGTAGCTATAGTATAAAGTATTTTCCTTAAAACGCTTTATTTCAAAATGTAGGGATGGATACGAAAGAATTTCCATGAATTTCGGAAATACATCTTATTCATGGATTTACGTAAACAAAACCCGTTTATTCATTCGCTTTCGAAAATATACCAGAGATTCCAGATTCTGTAGTACGCACACACATTTTTCTCTCGTGAAATTTAAAAATTATTCCTTTTTAATTATTATTTTCTGTTGACGTAAAATAAAATTTCACCTATGTCCTGACACACCTGTGAAATGCCTACTTCAGTATCATTCGGGTTCACAGAATAGTAGTTCGTTAGTTACGAAGACGTTAACGATCCAGCGCCGGGTAACCTTTAAATGTTCATTCCTCAGGAATGGTATGAGTAAGGGTAATGTAACCTATATGTAAAATGATCAGTAAATAATGACCTTTAAGAATCTGTAATGTATTTTGTTGTAATTATAATTATTTATACATTTATTATAATTTTAATGAACCAATGTGTACAATTTTCAATGCATCTGTCGCGTTAAGCGCCCGCCTCTCGAAAACCGTAAGAGATGGATCGGGACATATTGCGTACGAAATACGTATTACCTCTTGAGATTTCCATATCTGTTTTCAGATTTTACATATCACAAATGGTTTAGGTTCTACAAACATTTATTTATACAAATGAAGGCGCATCGCACTTCACGACACTTCTGCGCATGCGTATTTACGTCATACTAGGTAGAGATAACAAGATGGATGACATTGAAGCTAAGAGAGTCCGTAATGCAAAATATATGATACAGTACAGAAAACGTAAAAATATAAGTATTAAATAATAAACTTGAAATTCTCAAAAAAAAAATACCAAAAACTAATGCTGAACGTATGAGGGATAGTTAAATAAGCAATGTCTTAATCAAACTATTTACTCAATTGTAAAACACGTATAAAGGGAATATTTAGAATAAAGTTAATATATAAACTTCCTTTCATTGTATTTATTGCCTAAATATAATTTAAATACAAAGACGTATTTACGTCAGATTCTCCGGAACCTTGGTTCCACTATTATTTTTTTTATTTTATACTAATGCATAATGGAGTACGTTGGATGAAAGTTCAACGTCGTATGCACAAGGTCACGCACCATATGTACAGTCTTGCACTAAAACACACTGAGATATGTCTACAAATGACGCAATCTCAGAAATGAATAAATACTCTTATGAGACTGTTGTCTTGATAAATTTTATATTTTCTTATTTCCTTTCAATAAAGCATTCACTGCTGCGTCCATAAAAAGCACGGGATTCAATTTTAATACTGAAAATGTTAATTTTAATTCCGTTGTCCTTCATTAATTTACTAATATTATCGTAAGATGGTAAAGTTGCGTCATATTGTGATATAATAAGTATATATTAAATCTTGTCCGTCTAATCACAATAATTCTTATTAATATTAAAATATTACAATAATTAACATTGTAACATTTAAAATATGTCGTGAAACATGAAAAATGATGGTCTAATGTAAATCGAATATTTCGATAAAGAACATCATTTAATATTTTAGATATTTTAAATATTTTAAATGTTAAAATGTTAATTATTGTAATATTTTAATATTAATAAGAATTATTGTGATTAGACGGACAAGATTTAATATATACTTAATATTATCGTATTAATTATGCTCTGCTATGTTCTGATTAATATTAAATTTCTTCTGTAAATTTTAGTAGAAATTTCTAATGCAAAATATAATACTACAATATATTTATATAATACTTATGCATGTAAAATGGATGGCTTCATTACATACTTGTACGAGTTTCAGCGTCCAGACAACTCAACCGATAATAAAACTACGCCTCACCTTGTCCTTTAACTCCAGAGGCCATCATAATAGCATATATACAGGCCTTGAGACAGATAAGATCTTCACTGAAACTGCGAGGAAGTTATCGTGTAGCGCAGGGGTGGCCAACCCAAATGATCTTTCGGGCCACTTTGGAAATGCATCATAACTCCGCGGGCCACATATAAAATTATATATCCCCATATTAGATTTAGATACACTATAGACATTTTTTTGTTATATTAGATGTTCCAAGATGCACGCGCATCATGAGTTCGCAGAATATAGTTTAATTATTCTGCGAACTCATAACTGTAAACTCATGAATAAAACAGGCAATATCTGTCATATATTCGCAAGAATATTATTTTAAAATCAAAGTTAATTTTTTCTCATAATTTCGACAGATAATTTTTGAATATATGGATGCACAAATAATGTATTTTTTTAATACATTGGTTTTCACTACTTTGGCCATTATAAAATAAATATATTTTGTAAAAGTGTGATGAATCTCGCGGGCCGGAAAAATGTTCAAGGCGGGCCACATGCGGCCCGCGGGTTGGCACCCCTGGTGTAGCGTTTGTCTACATATTTCATTGCAGTAAAAATGCAAAGCTCGTGGACTGCTACGCGTGTCAGTAAGAACAAATACTCAAGAGTACTGCAGCCGGGGCCAAACTGTGTGTTTAGTGTTTTTTTTTTTTGTTTTTCCAATGTGAATACGTATGTTTCTATGAACAATTATGTTCGTAATTTGCTTATATGGATGATGATAAATCTAATAAAACAGAATTTCCATTAACCGTGTTTTTCGATTATCTGGGCCCCTGCTTCTTCCAATTACCAAGGATAATCGAGGTTCTATTGTATTTAGAAGAGGTGCCTTTTAATAATAAAATATAGCTGTACACAGGTCTTTCTCAAAAAAACATCATTCGAAGAAAACCATACCTGGGGTATGTTAATAAAACAATACACAGGAACAACTCAAATCACCAAAATTTAGCAGTAAATAAATATTAGGACGTATTAAGCTTGTCAACAGATCATTCTAACCTCATTCATAAAAGTAAGATCTGAAATAAGAATAATAAATTGGGTGTAACGTAAATAAAACTTTCGTAAGAAGATGACTTTAAGGTTTTCCGAAACGTTTTGCAACATGAATTATTTGTAACGAACTGTGGGCCTAATGTAGTGTTTGTAGGGGAGGAGACTCTTAAGCTGTGCCCAGGCGTACCAACATGATAATAACAAGCACTATTTTGAGGTTAATGCTGACACTGCCAAATTCAAAGCCATTGTATTTACGAAGTGCCTGTAATGAGCTATGAAGACATGACATGTATGACATCTAGTTGAGAAATTAAGAATCATCTAAGACACAGTATAATGCGTACGTATAATAAAAAGTACTTACAGAAGGTCTGAGGAAATTTTACGATACGAAAGACTTCCATTCGATGTGCTACCGGCCAGAATTCCATGCTCTTCAAATTCTAAGCTTCCTTCAATAGACAGATTTCGTTATAGAACTCAATGTAAGCGCCACTTCGTCTGGTTTGATAGGTCCATTACGCTCTGATGGGCCCGAGACGCGGATTTCAGCCCTTAAAGAGCGACGAGGAAATTGAATGAGCTGCTGATCGCAGATCTCGAACAAACCACTACCTAGAAAAGAAGATTAGCTCTGAGCTCAGCTTTCAGTGCCCCTCCATCACCTTATTTCGTAACAACACGATTGCCAAAGAATAAATCGCGGTTCACCTAACCGATAAATTACTTATTAAAACAGTAAATTTACCCGTTGCTTTTCGAAAAATATTATTGAAATTCATGGCGGAATATTTCTTTTCTGCTTAATCATCCTTTGCCCTTGTCTTCCTTTGTTTTCTTCTTGCATGTTTCTGCCTTAGAAACATTTGTAAAAGCTGTCTAATGTAGCAGCACTTGTGAGATAGAACGTTCTCACGCACTTTCACATAGTCACTAACAGTATCCTATAACATAACCTAGAAATTTTAACTAAACAATACGAAAGAGGAAAAGTTATGACATTGTCTTCTGGCAAACTCTGCTTGGATAATGAACAAAAGATTACGAGGGGAGGAACTAATAGCTCGACTGGGAGAAACAAGAAACGCATACAAAAGTTTGGTGGAACTCTCTCTTGGAAAGAAGCCACTGGGAAGACAGAGAAAGGGATTGGAGGATAACATTATTGATGGATCTTAAAGAAATAAGTTGTGTGGATGGAACTAACTCTGGAAAATGTCTAATGATACTTTTAGCACTAATTAATCTTTTTAATCTACTGGCAGTGAGTTGGGTATATAACATGGAACTTCTTCATAATCGTTATCAAACTGTGGTTTGTGGATCACCCCTGTAAGATTCCTGCAGTAATTAACAAAGAAAAGACATAGGATCCTCCTTGATCAGTTGGCAGTTAATTCCGTTGACCAGATGAGTTGCCACCCCACTTAATGGTACCTGCACCTTGTCGTGGTATGGGGCTTGAGTACCTCAGTGACCCCAAGAGCTATGCTGGTGGTAGCCAGATTTGTCGAGGGGGAGAGGTCAGACTAAGAAAGGTACCCTGGTCCTCCAGGTTGGGGGTTTGTCGCAAGGCTAACAACCTTGCACCGTAAAAAGGAAGATGTTTCGAAACCTGAAAGCCTCGACCGAACGGAATATGAGAATTGAGGAGGCCATGGACCGAATACGGACCGGAGAGCCATAGAAGAAGAAGTAGCACACATGGAGAGATGGGAAATGCATTATTAGGTTGGAAACCCTGAAAGGAAGAGACAAATTGGAAAATACAGTTGCAGACTGGAGCATAATATTAAAATTGATCGTAAGGATGTGGATTGAATCCATCTGGCTTAAAATAGGTACTGGTAGCGAACAACTGTAAACACAGTAATGAACCAGCAGGTTCCAATAAAGGCAGAACATTTCTTGATCAGTCACGTAACCAGAACTAAGAAACAGAAAACTTGTAAACTAAAGAATTAACAGTTTTATTTTATTTACATAAGATAATCAGGAATCAGTATTTACTTGTCTTCTCAGCGATTCTCTCAATTCTCTGATTCGCCTCAGTTCATTTTCCAAACTTTGAACCTGGGGTGAAAGAAAATGAAAAACAAATACAAAACAGAATGAGTCAAACATACAAATAAAACACCATCCTCTTATTTTTACATTTCACGCAGGATGTGAGGGACTGGGATACTGGGAACGACCCGTTCTTCAAGTGCCTGAGCACTGCGGGTCCCAACTTTTTGTTGGCTCGATCTATAGACATTCGGTAGGACTCCTTGGATGAGGGATCGACCCATAGCAAGGCCTCGATCTGTACACAGGACAGCACAACACAGAAAAACGCGAACATCCATGGCTTGAGTGGGATTCGAACCCACGGTCCCAGCGACCAAGCGGCACAAGGCCCACGCCTCAGACAGCGCGTCCACTGCAGACCCCGATGTGAGGGACAGCACACGCAACTTAAATTTGTTCCTGTATGTATTCAGCCTAGTTTCTATAGGAAGCCACTGCCAACATAGCCAAATAAGTAGAATTATTACAACGTTACAATAAATGTCAAGGAAAACCACTACTAGGAAACTAAATGTGCTTTGCTGACTGCAACAAAATATAATCAGTGATTATAATGAGAAATTCATAAAAGTTTAGCTTCTTGCAAATTTGTATGCATTCAGTAGCTCTGACTATGGATGATTAATACTTAATTGGAAATGTTATCTATGAAAGTAGTCATGCTTTAATTCAAGCTTCTATCCTGGTATTTACTTGTAAGGACTGAAGAGAACCACATAAAACCTAATTCAGAATACCTAAACTTCAGGACAAGACCTGAACCCAGCACCTCTTAAATACGAAGCAGGAGCGCTAACCACATGACTGCAATGTTCAGTAGTTTGAAGTCAGAAAAAAATGTCATATTTTGTTCTTTACATATGAAAGAGACTCCACGAGGACTTATTAGGTTTTCATGAAACGAAAGCTTCTACACAAACACACGTTTCCTGGTCTCCACTTTTATTTTTATTTGTAGTGTTCTGTCTGACGACAGGTCCATATATTATGAACAGGATCCTTCCATCCTCTTCAGGTTGTCAGGGACCTGCTCATACACATATACATTCTTGGCAGAGATGATCAGAAGTGGTTTGCCATTGCCTTCTTCTGTGTGTGAGTGGAGTAATTGTTGGGATGCCACGGAGAAACCGGGGAAGCCCCCGGAGGAAAACTCCGTGATGCCTAGACCACGGCCTTGCCCAACACAAGTTATAAATTTGAGCACCACCGGGAATTGAACCCGGGACCCCAGGCTTACAAGGCTAGTGTTCTGACCGCTAGACCACCGTGGCGGGTCTCCACTAACAGGAAACAATATAAACACGTTTTCAGTTATACGATCAGAATATATTATAAGCATGATGCAGTAATTAAAACTTCCACTATGTATTTTGGAGGTTCTTGGTTCAAAATTCATCCAGCACACCAAATACCGTTGAGATATTCAACCAGGCAAATGTGAGCATCAAAACTTCAAACAGGACACAGCCTTCCCAAATCACAATTCATAATCATCCTTTCATTTCCACAGAGCACTGTAAGAAATGAAGAAACAATAAACACTCTGCCAAATGACATGGAAGAACTACTGAAAAGTTAAGAGGTTTGGTTCAGGGCAAACAGTTTACTGATCTCACCTTGAGCAAGTGAGCGTCCTGCACGTGACGCGGGGCCTTGATCTTGTAGCCACTAGCACTTCTGATCTTAGTCATCTTCTCCAGCTCCTTTAGTAAATTCTCTTCCTGCCTGCAGGCCTGCGCATCCTGTTCAGAAGCATCCATCACTTGCTGCAAGATAACCAAGACACACACACAATGCATCGGACACCAGACGCAGACACTGATCGCCGCAAGAAACACAAATACAGTTTTACAGAACAATGGCAAACAGTTCAGAAACAGGGGTAATAAGAAAAAGAAAGAAAGAGGAGATAAGAGTCTGGTAAAATAAATTATTATGCTTGGTAAGAGTGACTCGCTGACTCCTGTTTAAAACGCAGAGGTTATATATTCACAGGTCCGAATGAGATGGAAAGATAATCAATGGTCTGTAGCTATGGACCTAAACAAAATGGATTTATTGTCTAATTTTAGTTATTCTCACAATATTCACTCGGGGAGAGACTATGCAAAACTGGGATAGATGGTAACGTCACCAAGTGAAAATTCAGACTCGGTACAAAGTGGCACAGAAACATGTTTAGTGGTAAGTGGATAAAGATGAAATGAAAATGCTACAATTAATTTTTGGTCACCAGAAGAAAAAATATTACAATTTACAGAAACAATTTAAACATTTAGAATAAACAACAAAAGAACAGCAAAGAATGAAATGAAATATAATCCACATAAATAAAATATTTGGAATGATCACAAAATAAGACTGTAAAGACACAACAATTTTTTGGCTTAATATTAAACAAATAAATAAAAACTAATCATACAATAATCAACTGCACAAAAGACATGAGACACAACACCTTTGAAATAAGATGCACACAGCCACTTGGCCCCACAGCCTCGGCCACATAGTTGTTCTTGAGTGCTGGAGACTGCCGATCTGCTACGACAACGTTCCTGCACCCTGCTAGAACCTTCACTACAGTCAGATGCTCACTGTACACCTGCCTGTCTGCTGCTGAAGGCATCACAATGTGAACTGCAAAGGAGTACAAACCTCTCATTGTACACAGACTAGGCCTTCAATGGACACAAAATGGCGAGGGCATGTCTGCCCATCCCAACCAAATATGGTACAGGAGGACCTCACTAAAAGTAAAGTAAAGTAAAGTTTGTCCCACTATACGCCATGTAGGCGTTTGGGGGAGCGGAGGTATAGCTCCTACTCATTCTTTACCTCGGCACCAGATGGGGGCGAGTGGTCAGCATCACACCCTGGCCGGCTTTACCCCCGGGAAAGGACCCCGGTACCCATTGTAGAGGAGGCTGGGTGGGCCCCAGAGCCGGTCTAGACACAGAAGCTAGACCAAAAATCCTCTGCCCCCGTCAGGGATCGAACCCTGATCGCCCAGCCCGTAGCTAGTCACTATACTGACTGAGCTATCCCGGCTCTTCCTCACTAAAAGTTGTCACGTTAATTTAATTACTACACACGGTGGTCAGATATATAGTAGATGACATATGAATTAGACCCTAAATTATACATAGTATTTTTCATATAATATAAGAGGCATCTCTGAAGTTTTATTAAAATCTATCAAAATGTTCAGAGTTCGTACCTACTCTCATACAAGTGTCCTTCAAGCTTTATCAACCGTGTGTTGTGACTCGCATATAGTTCATCTGGCTGTACATCACAAGCACATCAATAAACCATTAACCCTGAAGATAAAGACTGGCCCATAGGATGGGTGTTTAAATACCTTCTTCCCATACTATAAAAATCAAACTGCCTTATCAATACTTAGCGTAAACTCACCAATCAACTTTGATTACTATCAGTAAGGTAGTTTGGGCCTTGTTAAATGTGGACAGACATAATGAAACAATTAGGTAGTTTTCAAAATTTATTTTGGGATGTACCTAAAAATTATATAAAACTATTCTTCATCACAATATTTGTTATTTATACTCCTTACCTTCTGGTTTATCTTTGATGCCGTGTTTCGTCTTCAATCGTCGAATCGCAGCGATAATGTCTATTACAAGCTGAACTTCCTTTTCTACATGCATATCCCTCCATTGGTCCCACTGTAAAACACGAGCAACTCTTGCAAAATATCGCACAATTTACTTTAAGTAAACTGCATGCAAATAGGATAAATTTTACTCAGAATATTCATAATTTCTCATAAACAACAATATGGATGGGCGTCATTTTTGCATAGCCATTTCATGGGTTGGGAAAAGTACCACAAGAAGATTCCTAATATAAAAACAGATAAGACAGTTTACTAACAAGCTATGACCAAAATTCCAGGTCAAATTTGAATCACTTGTGTACATCAAGATACAGTAAAACCACCATTTAAGGTTTTTCTCATAACTTCTGTGTAAAATGTTTTCATTTCCCTACGTTCTGAATACGCCTTCAGATGAAGATTAACCTGGGAGGTCCGAGAGTGTAATTTTACTGTTCACTGTGTTTTTACTCAATGCCCTAAAAAGATGGGCTGATAATCGCTACACTCTAAAACACACCTGCTGAGGTGTCGGATACGGTGCTACCATGATACTTTCACTACGGTGATGGCCGCTGAGGCGGGGCAAATAATGATAGAGCTCCTCTGTTATGAAAGGCATAAAAGGACTCAAGGCATGAAGAGCTGTGTCTAAACAACACAACAACGTCCTGCACGCCATAACAGAAGCCTGTGTGTCTGACGATTTCAAGACCGGCTTTGTCGTCTCCTAGAACGAAAGAAACAAACAATGGAGTTTGGTGGTTAGCATTCATGCTTTGTGATGCCCCAAGTGTGGATAATGGCCATGAGACTAGCTATCCTGAGTTGTTGGTCATTATTTTTCCCATTAACTTCTGACAAATGAAGGAATAAAGCACAAAAAATAAAAATGCTTAGTTCGTTCCACAGATCAACACTTAGTAAAGAGGTAAATGGTGACAAACATTTAAAAAAATTATTATATTACTTTCTCTGCCAATCTCACTAAAATTTTCTTAATACCAGAAACTTTTATTCGTAGTCATTATAATTTACAAGCCACAATGTATTATTTGATAATCAATAAACAGTAAACATTATAAAATGGCATTTAATCAACCCAGTTTGCAATAGTACTGTCCAGATATTTAAATGTAAATACTTTTTAAATAACTCATTACAATTATGATGATGGCTCAGATGTTTAAACATGTATTTACTTACCAAGTAGAAATCACAGAATTCACTATAAACGAATGTCTTCAGGGCTGACGTAGCAATGTGAAGATCAGAACCACTAAGTGCCTCGTTGACCTGTGATACCATATTGGCCAAGCGACTGAGAATCCACTTGTCCAGTTTACTGAGGTAATCTCGGGAACTGTCCAGATCAGAGTCCAAAGCAGTGTGAACTCTTTCAAGACACATTCTAGTGTATTTGCTGGCTTGCCATATCTTGTTGCAGAACAGTCTGTTTGCTACGCACTGTTGTATGTCAAAATTGATGAAATAGCCTGAAATTACACAATCAAGATGAAAATACGCAAGCTGACCCCACTACACTTCATGCATGACAACTACAGAATAAAGGAACAAGGTGTGATAAGTACATCACTTCATGGTACCTGCACCTTGTCGTGGTGGTGGGGCTTGAGTACCTCAGTGACCCCAAGAGCTACTGGTAGGGCCTCCCTAGCCAGATTGGTCGAGGGGGAGAGGTCAGACTAAGACAGGTACCCTGGTCCTCCAGGTTGGAGGTTGGTCGCAAGGCTAACAACCTTGCACCGTAAAAAGGAAGATGTTTCGAAACCTCAATCAAAGCCTCGGACAGACGTCCTAACAGAGGACCGAATGGAAGAGGAGAATTGAGGTCATGGACCGGAGAGCCATAGAAGAAGTGATAAGTAGCCTACGTATATCTGTGCTTATATGTGTGTGTACATGGTACATAATTATGTGTATGTATGTTTTATTAATATTATTGTTGTCTTCTGATTCCCAATAATTCTTCCACTTCTCTCTCTGCTGCTGCATCCTGGATTCCATTAAATTCTTGGTCTTACTCCTTCTAGTGGGGTCCATTAGAGCAGTTGGACAAACTTTTGTCTCTCATTCTTTGAAAGTGTACATATCGTATGGTTTTGTTGTTGTATCATACGAGATGCGATCGGAAAGTTTCAAGACTGTGTCAATAGAGGGCGAACCGGATGTAGTACGAGCTTCTGCCTTTAGGGGGTGCGGCCTACATTCATAGTGAATCAGTGTGCCAGCCGGCATCATCGAATTAGCATTTGTTTCTTAGTTGCGGGGGTTTTGGTAGTGCATTACTCCGCCCTCCTGCGATTTCGGAACGGCGTGTGCATCAAATTTTGCCAAAGACTCGCCAAAACGGCTACGGAAACCTATGAAATGCTAAAGCAAGCATTTGGGGAGTCCGCAATGGGTCGTGCACAAACGTTTGTGTGGCATTCACGTTTTAAAAATGGCCGAACCTCTGGCGATGATGACGAGCGTTCTGGACGACCATCTTCGAGCACAACGCCCGAAAATGTTACGAAGAGTCGGCAGGCCATTCACGAAGATCGACGTCGTACCATCAACGACTTGTGCGACATTGCTGGGATAGGCTATGGGACCTGTCAGCTGATTCTAAAGGAAGAACTCCACATGCGACGCATCGCAGCCAAGTTTGTGCCAAGGCTCCTGTCTGAGGACCAGAAGCAGAATCGACTTCTCGTTTGTCAGGAACTCAAAGATCTTGCAAGAACCGACCCCAACTTCCTTTCTAAGCTCCGTGTGACTTCTTCCTCTTCCCAAAGATGAAAATTCAGCTAAAGGGAAGGAGATTTGAGACGATAGAAGAGATTCAGGCAGAATCGCAGATGGTGCTTGACAGGCTGACAAAGAAAGATTTCCAGGGATGCTTCCAGGCTTGGCAGCGGCGCTGGGATCGTTGTGTTCACTCCCAGGGGAACTACTTCAAGGGTGATGGATGAATTTAATACCTGAGATAAGTGTACGGGTTTTTATAGGCGCAGTCTAGAAACTTTCTGATCGCACCTCATATGTAGAATTCTGCAAACCCATTTATCTCTAATTACATAATTTGGAATTTTAAATTCCTTGATATTCTTGGTGATGATCTAAAAAGATCCTTTCCCACTGCCAATAATTTTTTATTTTTTATTTTATTTTTAAAATACTTTACTTCTAAGTCATCAAAATATGACAGAAGCGTATGAAAACATTAAGGTAAGTATGGAGTAAAAACGATTCACACAATAAGACTGTGAAGTCTTAATCAAGTCTACTCAACAGCAGCAGGGGAGAAATCTCAGTCTACTCCATACAGTTAAGAAGTTAATGTTTCTCTGAGGAATGCGTTTAAACACTAAACTACAATAAATATGAAACAGAAGAAATGTAGCACTGAGATAAGGGAAGAGAAACCATGCATTATTAATGAGAGAAAATCTTAAAATGAGAAACATTAAATGGGAATTTTGTTTCATGTGTTTCCTTTGAATATTTGTACATACTTCTGATATTTGCTGAGCACAGAGTGAATCTAAGAGCATCTGCACCACATTCTTCAATTCCTTTTGGGAACATTTTCTTCTGACCTTCCAAAGTCTTCTCCAGTTCAGATCTGGAGAGAAGCCCAGCATCAAAATTCTTGCGTGCTTGGCGGTTCAGGTCCTGAAAAGAAAATTTATCATCCTGAATGACAATGTAGTTTAAAGCAGCTAGGAAATGTCCATGTTCAACTTCTTTTTCCCACTCCCATGCCAGTCAATTATGGGTAACAGAGGTACAGCGTGATACTTTGTCCATCAAATTAAAATTTCTGTCCAAATAACTCCACTAGCTGTAAGTTACAGAATCTTCATTGAAAACTTGACACAGCTGATCAAGAAATTCATTGAAGACATCTGTCTTCTGGGTTGTTGCGCTGTGTAGTCTGGTCGATGTTAACCAACGTTTCAGAGGTCATACTGCCTCCGTCCAGGCTACACAGCACAACAACCCAGAAGACAGAAATCTTCATACTCACCGCTGTGAAAACCTCAAATCTTACAAGTAATTCATTGCTATTATAAAACATTATATAAACAATTTCTGTATAAGATGGCAAACAAATATCATCATTAAAATATGATCATTAAAAATACTAATAAAAAATCGAGGTGCATGTCTTATTCGGGGATGAGAGATATCTGGATTAAACAAGTGTTAACTGGATAATATGTTAACAATCACGGTAAATATCATAAATATGGCAATATGCACAATCCGAACATTTCACAGTGACTACATACAATGAATTCTTAGTATTTTGTGATCACTTCCTACTAAAAGATGGTCTGACACATTAAATTTTTACTCCATACACATGTGACTGTTCACCCTAGAAGACTTCACTGAAAGTTCTGTTTATTTCAAGTTCAAGAATAAAAACAAAGTTAAAATATCTGTAGAGAATTGTACTGTGTGAATTAAAGCACCAGACTGATAACCGTACCTCCAATGAGATGCCTGCAATAATGTCTTCAGGGAACACAACATTTCCAAGGCTTTTGGACATTTTCCTTCCTTGAGCATCACAAATGATTCCATGGAGCAAGATATTCTGCAAAAGAGGGAAAAACTGTTCAAATCTTGTTACAAAACAAAAGAACGTTAATTTTTATGGAACCAACATGAAAATAACATTTCTGAGAAAACTGCTGTAGTTTATTTTGACGGTCATGGCAAGCGTAAACCAAAACCAAATTCATCTGACCACTTTTAGTACTGACCACAACACCATATTTCACTGAAATCCCTTCAGTAGTTATGGAGATGGGAAAATGCAGACACTCCAGTGCGTAATGCAAATTTTGCCTGTTGTTTTGTATGGGTGTGAAACATGGTCTCTTACTCTCAGGGAGGAACACAGATTGCAGGTGTTTGAGAATCGGGTGTTGAGGAGGATATTTGGGCCTAGGAGAGAAGACGATGGGGCGTGGAGAAAACTGCATAATGATGAGCTTAAAAATCTGTACTCCTCCCCCAGTATTGTCAGGGTGATTAAGTCGAGAAGAATGAGATGGGCTGGGCATGTAGCGCGCATGGATGGGATAAGAGGTGTGCACCGGGTACTGGTTGGGAAACCTGAGGGGAAGAGACATCTGGGGAGACCTAGACGTAGATGGGAGGATAATCTCAGGCGGGATCTATGGGAGATAGGAGATGAAGGAGACTGGATTTTGTTGGCCCAGGACAGGGTCCGGTAGAGGGCTTTGGTTAATTCGGTGATGAACCTTCGGTTTCCGTAAGCCATCTGGTTGGTTGGATCCACTATTTGGGAAGCCTGAGGGGAAGAGACCTCTGGAGAGACCTAGACGTAGATGGGAGGATAATCTCAGGCGGGATCTATGGGCGATAGGAGTTGAAGGAAACTGGATTTTGTTGGCCCAGGACAGGGTCCGGTGGAGGGCTTTGGTTAATTCGGTGATGAACCTTCGGGTTCAGTAAGCCATCTAGTTAGTTAGTTAGTTAGTTAGTGTGTACTGAAAATGCATCAGCAAAAACTCAGTAATCTTTTTCTAATGAAAGATTTAATTTAAAACAGGATTCATGTTTGAGACTATTTCCTGTTTTTACATACCACATACCTTGAAAGGCAGCTGTCCTGTGAGTTGAGTTCCAAGCATGACCATACGAGCCACCCAGAAGAAAACTATGTCATGGCCAGTCTCCATCAGTGTCAGAGGGTAATACTTCTCAGTCTGAAATTCAAAATTAAAATGATAAAACATTAAAACCAACAATTAACTTCTAACTATGTATCAATGTAAAGAATGAAGTTTCAGTTAAAAATCTGAGGATGTGCTTATTATTACTTGTATCTTTACCAATTAAACAAGAGCGAAAATATGTATTCCAATCTGACGTGTAAACTTTTCAAATGCATTTTTAGTGATGCTGTATACCGAATTAGCATTGCTGTTCATTTACTAATGATGCAAATCCAATTGTACAAAGTAAATCATGCAATATATTAATAAAGCATTGAGCCATAAGAAATTCTTTCTGATCAAGTCAACATTTCTTCTTCATGCAGCAGCTGTGCTGTTTAACATTGTACAAAAAATTGCTATACCAACCACGTGTATTTTTCAAAGATCTACTACCATATATCATTGTATGACACTATATTAAGTGGCACTAATGTCATTCCCACCTCACAAGTTTAAGCATCTGCCACGGTAGTAAAACTGACTGCAGGAAATTGAAAAGCACGCATTTACCGTAGCCTCCAATGACACAATATCTACATGAAGTTTCATAAAAATCTGTCCTGCAGTTGAGTTAAATTATGAGGTCATACAAGCATTATATGCATAAATTTCGTGTAATCCGTGCAAAGAATTAATAATAATTAAAACAGCAATAAAAGGTCTGCTTCCCTGCTACGAAAAAACTGTGACCACCTCACACCTTTTCTGGCCAGCCCAGTGCAGAAAATGGGAAGAGGGCTGAGGAGAACCACGTGTCGAGAACATCATCATCTTGGCGCACCCTCAAGATGTCAGACTCCAGGACATTGAGCTTGGTGGCAGCCTTCTTGACTGCTTCATTAATGTTACGAGCTGCCACCCACAGTGTGGACTGCAAGTTCACGATGCTTGAACACTCATACACCGGTATCTGATGGCCCCACCACAGCTGACGAGACACACACCAGTCCCTGCAAATTTGAGACATGACTAAATATCGAAGACAGCAGAATGTGTCTGGATCATTCCCTTCACACGTGACACAGTGACATATTCCTGATATTCAAATCTTATGTAATACATAAAAACCATAGTATATGTTTATCGCCAGAATGGTAATATAATATAGCCAAAAATCCTTTAAAGCTATAGCAAATTTCAGGTATTTGAAACAAAATCAAATCAAAATGACTGATAATCATGACATTATGAAGATATCAAATCTAAAACTTCTTTACGATGGTGAAGAGTCCGGAGATAGGGATTAGCTCTATCTAGTGGGCCCAACCGTGTAGGAACCTGAAGACGGAGATAGAGTCCCATCTCCGAAACGTCGTTTTTACGTTTTATATTTACTAGACGATGGATAATATCCAAAAATTTTATTCAATTGACATTATGAAGAGACTAAATTTTGGAAGTATCTGCCACCACTTGTTTAAAAATCTTTTATCTTACTATAATTTTACTATCACTGTACCAACTGCAGAGCTTAAATAACACAGAATGAAACATCAAGATAATTATAAGGAATGATCTGGTAATGCCAGGGTGGAAAGCAGTCAAGTTTGCATACCCCTAACAGGAAGTTCCAGAAAGAACTTTAAATGATAAGAACAAGGAGGCATTAGTGAGTGAGTACATATACACATAACAAATTACTTGTCCTCCTTTCTTAGTGCATAAATTATGAGTACACAGATACAGATTTCCACTAAATGAAAGTTGGCAGACTATCAAAATCTGCTAATTTTAAAATGAAAAATTTTGTTGTTTACAGAACCAGAATCTGAATGAAGTTCAAAATTCATGAGATATGAATGCACACACTAACAAAGGACACCATACTACAGACTTTCCTTACAAAATAAACTTGCCAAATTTGTTGCTATATCTGTAACAATCTCAACTTTTATTCAAGAGGCACCCAACATAATAGAACAAGAATTAAAAATTTAATTATTCGTGTTTTTTTCCGTCTAATCACAATTGTATATAAATAAAATTATACATAAGATATTAAAATATCATTTACATATTTGGTACAACCACCTTTCACCTACTCTCTCTATAAGTGATCAGTATTGATCCAGTTCTCCTCGGATACGTTAGTACTTCTGAATACCTTCAAGACATATCTACGCTCTTCCTCGGTATGTTCATTTTTACATTTTACCTGCCATTTTTATTTATATTTTTACCTTATTACATTTTGTCTTCTATACTCGTTCTTTCAAGTTCAGTAGTAATTAAAAATATTTAAATTATTTACGTTACAGGCCAATGTTAAACCACTATCACTTCAAAATATACCCTCACTCCAATGAATTTGGAAGTAAACATCATCAGAAGTTACACAACAACAGTAATTAAGTTTTAGTTTATAAGATTATAATTTTAACTTTTAACTTTACACCTGAAGATGGTTCAATGTAACCGAAACATGTAGTAAAAAGATGTACCAAATATGTAAATGATATTTTAATATCTTATGTATAATTTTATTTATATACAATTGTGATTAGACGGAAAAAAACACGAATAATTAAATTTTAATTCACAATATGACGCAATTATATCAACTTAAGAATTAAAAAATAAAAAATCATGTCACAATTCATACCAAGGACGCTACACAGTAAGTAACAAACCTCACATCACTCAGCCAAGTGTACCAAGTCTTCTCAAAGACGGCTGGATCAATCCTTAGATCTCCTTCTTGCACTGCTTCAAGAGCCTGATGAGCCATTTCTTTAGAATTAATAAACCTGAAAAATCAAATCAAAATATTCAGTTAATCAAATGGTGTGTTAATTGTTTATACTTGATTCTGGCATAAGAAAATTTTCAATGCAGTTCAAGTGGTAATATCACAGATTAGTAAAGGCACAAGTCACCCAAGTGATATTAAGATGTGGCAAACATTAAGGCTTTGACGGGACGTTCTTTTGTTAAATCTAATGTGGTACCGCCTGATTCGACTTCTAATGGTTAAGTGAAGTGTTTTCTTCGCGGTACGGTCTGGATTCGTAAATATTATGAAGACGAGCTTCGGCTTCAAAGGGTTAACCAGCTGATTTTCGTAATGGTGAGGTGTAGTGTTTTCTTCGCGGTACGGACTGAATTCATGAATAATATTCAGACGATCTTCAAAGGGTTAACATTACTAAAGTAATAACAAACTATTAGCAGGAAAAGTACTAACAAGAATGAACACTTACCACTGAGGCTTCAGCAACAGCTCCACCACATCACCTGATCTGCTGCAAAATGGAACCTGCATTGTGTGGTCACGCTTCCCTCTCAGTAGACCCCGTGCATCCAACTGCTCCATTATGCATTTCCTTGCATCAAACCTCTTCATGTTCTGGAAACGATCAATTCATTTCTTCCTGATACCTCACCCCCACATCTGAAACTCTTAAAAATGCTCTTATTTCATACTGACTTGTAGATTTAATTCAGCTATACCAACTGAATAAGGTACACGCCACCAAGTAATAGAAGATGCAAGCTTGGTCTTCAATTGTAAGCGAGTGTCGGTGAGGGGAAAGGAACAAGGGATGATAACAGTTAATTACTATAAGGTCTGCAAACATCAACTCTCGATGCCAACTGTAAATGACAGTGCACCTGTCCTGATGCATGAACATAAGGCAATATTTACCTCATCTGAAATGGCATTTACTAAAGGTCAAACCTGCAGAATCATGCTGACTGAACATAATGTCAAATTCAAGACTTTGTACTATCCCAGCATTGCATTCACCTGAATGTTGTATTCATTTCATGTCTGTACTAATCACACCCAGCATAATCCCTTCATAAATTTTGAGATTTTGTAATAGTCCAGCCTCTGAAACGCAATATAGGCTGTACAGGCTGGATAAGGAACTGTTTGATGCAAATATTAAGAGTATAGTGAAACTAATTCCTCCTGATAAAAGGCCCCTGTACTTGAAATATCATCAATAATACCAATAAACTTCAATGCCAAACTTCGGAAAACTTTAAATGGAAAAATTCTATGGTTACTGAAAAACAAAAAAATTGACAATGAATATATATATATATATATATATATATATATACATACATACATAAAAGAAAGGAAATCAAGAGTTTCACTGCACATATATCATTACGATTTTCAAGAAAAATGGTGGATTCAATTATCATTCCTTCTCAAAACATCAATTTAGGAAGTTTTGTTTGTATGATTTATTTAAGGCATATGACAAGATATTTAATCAAAATCCATTCAACAAATGCAGCTTTCATACATCATACAAAAGTAATAGTACGTTTATACACTTTCACAAAAGTGTTTTGTAACATTTAACAATCAACATATGTAATACTCACAGTGAATACACCACACTTTTCATTCAGCTCTCCTTTTTCATTGATGACAGAAATCATTTCCAAGTTGTGCCTCTTCCCAACCTCAAAATCAACATAATCATGTGCTGGAGTTATCTTAACAGCTCCTGGAAGCAGTTCAATGGTCTTACACATCATTAACTCCAAATGTACGTAGCAAACACATACAGACAGGTTCTGTCTGCCAATTTACGTGTTTTGTATGCAACACTACCAAATATATTTTTATGTTTGGTACTGCAGATCTCCGTTAAAAGCTGACATTTAATTTTGTTGAAGTGGCTAGTATACCCTCTACATTACACTAAAATTTAAATTTATGAAATTTCTCAAAAACAACTCATTGTACAAAACACTACCAAAAGATATACATAATACAGAATATCATTAAGTAAGACTTGAGGTTCTCACAGCGGTGAGTATGAAGATATCCGTCTTCTGGGTTATTGCGCTGTGTAGTCTGGTCGATGTTAACCAATGTTTCAGAGGTCACACTGCCTCCATTAAGGTCCACACTGATGCTATATAATTTGACTATTTTGTTAAATAAATAAAATTAAACTCTGCACATCCCACGTGAAACACTTTTTTGGTACAGTGTTCATTAAATAAAACACAGAGAAGAAATAACTGTTGCTTTTTGTACAGTTCTCCACAGTTCCACTTCTTTCTCTCAAAAGTAGAATATGAATGTAGATTTAGTAACTCAACTGTTGAAGAACTCTCCCTGAACAGTGATCAGGAAGAATCCGTGTGTTCCATGTCCATTAGAAGGGACAGGCAAGGGGATCACAAGGGTAGCAGATAAGAAAGCATAGTGTCCATACTATAAACATTACTTCCTGGCTACTGTAGATGCATTGCATAAATACTGATCACAGTGCAGATCATAGTGAATGCATTTTAGAAAAATTTACTCTCCACACTGAAGCTTACCTTCACTCTCATTTAATTCCAAATCCGTAGCTAAAGCGCACATTTAACTCTTCATAAACATAAATGAAGTGAAACTATGAGTGGTTGCTCAACCTTATTTTCAAAACACAAACATTAAAACCTCCTTTGTAAGTATTTTTCAAAACACAAAAATAAAAATTTAATGCGCCTCACTACAATCATTCATGAATTAACATCATCCAATAAAAAATATTTTTTGAAGTCACCTGTTCCCAGATTTGGATCAACAAAATCGTCACAGATAATAGGAATTCTCTCCTCTCGGAAAGGATGCCAAACATGTTCTCCAATCACATTCTTGTACCTTTCGTCAAGAGGATGCACAGCGACCGCTGTGTCCCCCAGCATTGTCTCCACCCGTGTTGTGGAAACTACAATTTCTCCATCTGGAACCAGCCACATGCAGTAAATAAAGCAACAATATCAACATATGAGGAACATTTCAGTAGGGCCCTCTGCTCCTCTCTATCCGGTACCTCATTCGTTGCTCCTCCAGCTCTTAAATAGTGTTCTCGGTGCAGTCTGACCGTTGCCCAACATTTCCTATATAACCACCTCCCATCACATTTTTAACACTCCTGATCAAATGAATAATCTTAATAATTAGAAAACCTTTCTACCGACACATAACGCCCACACCCAAAAGAAAATACCAGAAAATTGTAATAATTCACTGGTGGTGATGTCAAATGGTGTTGTTACCACAACAATCTCTCCAATTCACTCCACTGTGGGAACGGGCCACAACCTTTGTGATTACAGAAGCTCTCATAATATTATTAAGAATATTTATTAACAGCTGGCAAAACAAAGGAATAAATACCTCTGTCACATAGTTTGTATGCAAAGTCAGTAAGAACACCAAACTCCACGGGTTCTAAATGGCCAGGGACTTCAATTGCTGTAGCTCCAATTACTTGCTTAAAGTTGACTTCTATATCAGAGATTGCTGACTGCAAAACACAGGACCAGTTCACAAGGGAGTTGGCTCGATAGATGAGATCAGCATCAAAGAGACGGATGAAAGCTTCTGTAACAGCTGCTGACTGCACCTACACAAAATTAGGTTGAATTAGTGTTGGTACCTGCACCTTGTCGTGGTATGGGGCTTGAGTACCTCAGTGCCCCCAAGAGCTACTGGTAGGGTCTCCCAAGCCAGATTGGTCAAGGGGGAGAGGTCAGACTAAGACAGATACCCTGGTCCTCCAGGTTGGGGGTTGGTCGCAAGGCTAACAACCTTGCACCGTAAAAAGGAAGATGTTTCGAAACCTCGATCAAAGCCTCGGACAGACGGACCGAATGGAAGAGGAAAATTGAGGAGGCCATGGACCGAATACGGACCAGAGAGTCATAGAATAAAAAAGTGTTGCATGACTGGAAATTTATACAATAATGACGACAATTATGCATTGGAAAGAATATTGAAGTAAACGGTCAGGATAGTCAGTCTCTGGGCCATGATTTGAACCTGGGACTCCTGAAATATGAAGGAGTTCTAACCACTCAGTTATGACATTCAGGGTAAAACTAAGGTAATAGTGAATAGCATTCAAATAGTTCTTACAGAAATAGTTGTGAATGTGAATAGGACTGAACCTATATTCAGTGGTAGGTTTTGGTATTAATGATGTTGAAGTTTCAGTTTGTTTAATGAGGATTTTCAATACATATTTATACTACAGGTACATAATCCATAAACACCAGTTACTCCTGGAAAATTATTAGATGAAAGTCACACTAGAATGATTAAGGAAACATTTATGTTAAATGGAACATTCCAGAATGAATCAAAAGCAGGAATAACATAACATCAGGCAGCTTAGTTCAAGCTGTAATGAATCAGACTTTTATTCAGGAGGTACTGGGTTTGAATCTTGACTGGTGTCCCATGGTTTTATCTAGTCTTTAGAAATATGCTACTATTATTGCTCCTTCCCATTCACCACACATAAACACCATTTCATGTAATTCTATACATAATTACATATGCAGCATAGTTAACTCTCCTATGCAAGAATTATCAGGCTGTTCAATAAAATCTGTATGCAAAGACCAGCTACCCTGACTGAAGTTTATCATGGTTTTATTTGGTCCCTCCAGGCAAATGTTGGGATAGTACCACAAATCATATTCTTTCCAATTCATTACTCACTAATCTTCTCATAATTTAATGCCACAAAATCTACAAAGCAACCAAGAACATAACAATAATCAGTGGATTATCACCTACTGGGTCCATTGTAAACATTTCCCTCGACCAGTCCAATGACAGCCCGAGCCTCCTGAACTGCTCGGTGATAATGCTCCCCTTGTCTTCCTTCCACCTCCAGATCTCTTCCACAAGCTTGGCACGGCCAATATCGTGTCTCGTCAACTTCTTCTCCTGCCACAGTTTTTTCTCAACTACCACCTGTGTGGCTATACCAGCATGGTCCATACCAGGAATCCAGACAACTGAACAGCCCAACATTCTGTGCCTGAAAAATATCAGAAACTGATAATGAACAACATTGTGAATTGTACTACAGAAAAATAGAGATTTCCTTGTTTACCTGTTAAATAGTTACTTTCAGTGAGATTGTGTCTATCATCAGAGTAGAGTAGAGTAGAGTAGAGTTTATTTACATTCCATAGATCCTTCTTAGGACTCAACCAAAGGATGTAGAACATGTCATTTCATACAATATACATACACTTCACAACTTTCAACACAAGTACAAGAACGTATTTCACATATCAATGTACATAAATTTCAGATTCTGCAATACAAGTATGAAAAATAATTTTACAAAATTAATATACATAAACCTCAGAATTTTAAATATAAATACAAAACTTGCTTTACATACACGTAGATTATGGATATAAAGCTTAAACATTTTCAGCAGAGATGAAATCATCTACAGAATAGAAGGAGTGAGTAAAGAGGTAATCTTTCAATGCAGGCTTGAATACCTTTATATCATAATTTAGACTTTTAATTGTTGGTGGAAGATTATTAAATTGGTGTATATTATTATATTGGTTTATAGTTATTTCCTCTGCAGTGCATGATTCATAAATCCTAGGATTTATGAAGACATGTGTGGATGCTCTCCCAGAACAAACTTCATCTTTATCCGACAGTGGTTATGACGACAGCATTATTTTTATTTACCAATTTATTATTTTATTTGTGCCACCAAGGAGACTAGTAATGGCAGACAATGGTAGTGTGCCCATTTGGCCTTAGAAGCGGCAAGTTTCTTGCCATATTTCTTCCGCTGAAATATGAATCATCTCAGTAGAAAAAGAAGCACTCCTAAATCTTTACTAACCTACATACAGAATAAGCAACACATTCGCTCTGCTATAGTTACACTGTCATCTGTGCTTTATGCGTAAGTAATTCAGGCATTCGTTCACAGATGTCGAATGTGACGTCTTTAAGGCGCACAGCAGTGGTGATGGATATTTTGTAGCATACAAGAGTAAACAGGATTTATATGTTATGTATTGTGCAAGTATGCGACACGTTAAAACAAATATACTTATTTAATTCAGTTTGTGTAGGTAAGTCGTAGTCTTGGGATCAGGTAGATTGTGGTTTCTCATGGGCGTGTGTTACGTGTACTTCACGTTTTCACGGCGGCGAGTTTGAAGGTGACTGTCTTGGGATGTTGCATTTGCAGTGTGATCCACCCTTCTCCCATTGGCTTCCTTGCTGTCAGCCTCTTTCCCACTGGTCTGGCCAAGGTTTTGCCTTGTCTAGCTGGTTCCTATATCAAACCAATTTATCACCCAGCTTATTCATCGCCCTCTGAAACGTCGGTAAACTTAGAGCAGACCACAAGGCACAGTATCGCGGAAGTCAGTCGTGTGTTATGTCTTGCATTCAACTTTAAAGTCCCAAGTACAAAGTTTTGTCCACTTATTGGAATTAGAGGATATTTATAAAAATAAAACTGATTTCTTGACATACCTGTGTTGTGTTAAGTGTATTCAGGGTAGGAATAGAATGGACTGTTCCTCCAATAACACACTTGGCTTTTCAGTTTTCATGGCCACAGCTGTCCTGTATTGGATTCCTTTTCCGGTTCATAGTACCCCCTTTTCATCCTGTTATCCAGCTTTGGTTGGAGAGGTGTTTTTAAATAAATGTTTACATTGGTGATAGTTATTAGATTACATTGCTGATTTGCCCATTTGATTTAAACTTGTCACTTGATATGTCACTGCACTGTTTCTCAGACATTTTATATTACTTTCATTGCTTTTCACTTCCAAAGTACATTTTATTATTAAGTTAATGTTTCTGGACTGTGTGTATTAAAATTAATTACTTTTGGTATGGGGCAGGGAAATGTAGGTAGATTTAGTTTTATGTTTGTTCTTACTTTGCAGCTCATTCTTGATGGTAATTGCAATAGGATTTGAAGGTAGTGCCAACAAACTTGGTATTGGTATCGTGCATAATGGAGTGGTCTTGTCCAATTGCAGGCGGACATACATCACTCCACCTGGAGAAGGTAATGCTCATATAGCATAAGGCTCGCTGTGTGAATCATAATTTGTGGCAAACCATATTTATCTGTTTTTAGCTTTGGGTGTCAGATAGTAAGATACTTCCAGATGTATCTCCCAAGAAACATTACCACTTGTTTTTCAAGAAATGATAACATGATACTTCAGCAAAACTGTATTCTGTGTGTCAGTTGCTAATGCTGATTGAAATATCATAAGTAGTTCGTTAATTATGTAAAATAATATCTATAAAACATATCTGTCATAAATTTGCAGTGGCTGAATTGAAAAACAAAAGAATTTTGTGTTCATAAATATACTGTAATGTGTGAAACATTAAGTTAATGACCATGAACTATTTGCTGCATCATTTAAATTCATTGTATCTTTATGCTATTAAGCCAGTTAATTTAAATGCTCCTTGTATACAATATATGAATACATTAAGAGCAGCAGGGGATATTTCATTTTACTGAATTCTTTATTAGGTACATCATAGTGTTTAGCAGGTTGTGTGCACTGTTACCACTGCATTATCGAAGAGGGTGATAATATATCATGAACTGGGTGAGAAGTGGCCACAGCCTGATTCCAGGTATTATATCAGGGACTGAGAAAAATCATGTGTGTTTCACTATCTGTACACTGATCTCTTTCTGAAAGCCTGTTTACCCATGTCCTGTGTAACACATCTTTAAACTTCTTTACCCACTGTTGGACTGATTATATATGACAAAATAAACCAATAAATAAAACTACCAATGAAACACAAATTTAGATGATCTAATCACATATTTAGACAAAGAATCAAATGACCTTCCTTCATTCATCTTGTTAAACACACACTCAAAAAATTTACTAGACCCTTACACATAAGGCTCCAGGGTTACTGTGAGGAAACATGATGAATAGTAGTTAGCAGGAATCATTCATCAGACTGTGAAAGCAAGTGATGATGTGCAGATGAATTTATGTTATGTTTGAGGCTGGTGAAATGGACAGCAATGAGAAATAGAGAAATGTATGGTATACTTTGTTTACAAAACACTGCAGACTGTAGACACTGGTCTACAAGGGCACAATTTCAAAGTACTATATAGAACTTACCTCTAAAGGCATGACATCCTGCAATTTTTCCTATGTACTAAGCACACATATTCACTACACACAGACAATATACAACAGCCAAAAAGGAATTTTTCTTTCCAGAAACCATTCTATACGTAGTACCCAAAAATCCATGCTATAGCATCTACAATTACCATCGTGCCAGCACATCCTGTATTGTGCATGTTAAAGCATGACCCAGATGTAAAGTGCCCGTTACATTTGGTGGGGGAAGGACCATACTAAATGATTTTCCAGTATCTGCTGAATTTGGTACAAAATAACCATGCTTCTCCCACCAGCTGTACCAATTACTTTCAACATACTTCGGATTGTATGCTGTTGGGAAGTCTGATCTTGCATCTGGAAAAAGAAATAATTGTAATATAAAGTCATTACATAAGAATGAATTAAAACCAAAATATGGTGCAAGCATATTCATCACATGTTGGCAACAAACGAAAACAGCATACATTTCACAGGCAACAGGTATTAAGTTGCCCATGAAATTCTCCATTGCTATGGGACCAGATTGTTTGTCACCATCACGATAAAGGCCATCGTTCACCACATCAATGCCCGAAAATACCTAACATTTTTATTCAGTTCATACCCTCAAATTTATTTCTCCAAAATGAATTTAAATATCCTTTGGTCACCTAAGTGGCTTCTAACCACAAGATTTAATAGTCAAAACAATGTATTTATTTCTTGTTTCTTTTCAAACAAAATACTCAGGAGCCTTCCTAAAGACAGCCAGTTAATGAACTTTGGATAGAATCACATGCTTTCTTACCTTTGACAATCTGATTCGTATTTTTAGAGAACCAAATACCACGACCAGCACTGCAATGTCTTATGTGCCAAACAAATCTTCTGTAGACTGGATTAAATAACAAAGAATCATTACATACAATAAAAATAAAAGACTTGGAAATTGTGCCATAATAACGCATTTTTACACTCATTTGACAGATAAAGTTTCTATGCTTTCAGTGTAGAGCGAGCTGCTATGCAGAACGCTGCAATGGCAGCCTTAGCAGTTGTAAAAGTTTGTTCCCAAGTTTATCGGAACGTAGCTTTTTGTGTTTACAGAACCAGAGAGGCGTACTTTTTAGGCAGAAATGAATTTATAAGTGTAAGATTGTTTTCGACTCATGGAGTCCCAAACATGTCTAACTCAAGAAAGAGCAGTACACTAATGTATGGGCTCTTGGGTATTAGCATGGGTGCATTAGTCGGTGCCGGTTATTCGTATCATAAGAAGACAGAAACGCAATCACCTGCCATATTAAATAAAAATATGGGCACAACAAGTGCCGTGTTAGAAACTCCACCAGATTTCCAGATCTCTAGAAAGGTGAACATTCTCATATTTCATTATATCAATATTGTAAACATTGGCCTTGATGTAAGCTTGTGGATGAGCTTTGGTAACTACCATTCCAGAAGTTAATGTTATCACATACTGATTTACAGGTTGTTGTACCTGCTGACAATACTGGATTAAAGCTAACACTGTTCCAGTATACAACTTGCCCATTCTGCTGCAAAGTTCGAGCTGTACTTGATTACTATGGTTTTTCTTATAACATAATTGAAGTGAATCCAGTTCTAAGGCAACAAATTAAGTGGACTGAATACAAAAAGGTTCCTATAGTACTGGCACATGTTGATGGTGTTTATCAGGTCAGTGACTTACAATATAGATTATTCCCTATTTTACACTAGTGACAATGCAGGAAGAAACTTGGATTAGTACATGTTCAGGCCAGTGGCTAATGTTCTTGCCTACCTATTCTTCCACAGATTTGATGCGTGCATTTCTATCTCAGCAACAAATTTCAAAATAATCTTAGCAGGTGACTGGAAATTCGAGGTGTTTTATAACATTCAGAAAAGTATCAAAGAAACTGTCTTCCTTTCAGCAAATGAATGACAGTTCCATGATCATCTCTGCATTAGCATCATATCTTCATGATAGAAATCAAGGGTTGGAGGAAGTTGTGAAGTTTTATCCCAGTATATCATTTACCGATGATGATGGAAAGTTAAAAAATGATATTTTGAATCGTTATTTTCTAATGTACCAAGGGAATATTCCACAAGACAAAACAAAGGACACAATATTGTAAGTTGTCATGACAGTATTAAGATAAAATAAATAAAAATCATAGCATGTACTACTATAACTATAGGATACTTGGGTATGGTCAAGATATGAACTAGGCACCTCTTGAATATAGAATGATATATTTACAAAACTCTATATTTGGTTAGAGATGTTACAACATTTTAAATAAGAGAAGAAAAATTCTGGTACTTACTGACAGACTATATGTAAAGACAAGACATTGCGAAGTAGGTTTACCAGTTGCCTGTAGTTGCCTTGTGTTTGGTGATATGAGACTGAATCGTGATGAAGTCTACTGTGTGGAACAAAATTCTTGTTCTCGTTATGTCTGATAAGGATCATTTTCAAACTGTTCTTACACACAAAGTAAATAACATTATAATTCCTTAAGAAACATCATTACCATTTCTTCCTTTTCTGACATTTGTCACAGTAGGAACTGAAGTTATCTGACTCAATACAAGTACAGGTGGTAGCCTCTTGTAAACTGATAATAAGCTTCTCAAGGATTCTACCTACCTCTTTGAGCTATTTGGTTAGTTAAGAAATGGACTGTACTACAAGAAATCTAGATATTTTTATTTGTACATGTATGAACAATGCATGCTGATATATTTAGCTTAACCAGACATTCCTGTGCCATCTGCAGGAAAGAAAGGCAATGGCGAAAGTGGGCAGATGATGTGCTGGTTCATATGCTGTCTCCTAATGTGTACCGGACAAGAGAAGAGGCTCTTCAGGCCTTCAACTGGTTTTCAGAAGTAAGGAAACTTTGCCAAGTATGACAAATACTTAATTTCCTATAAACATATAGTGTGTTAAGTTTTACAAAGTACACATAGAAATTCTGGAATTAAAAATAGTTTTGTTTTGAAATATAAAGCCTTAACTGCTACAACAAACACTCACCATAAAATCTTCTCATGAATGAACAAATTGGACCCCCCCCCCCCCCCCATCCCAGATAGATTGTTTGAAGATGAATAGTAATATATTTTTATTTTAGGTGGGAGAATGGGAGAAGCACTTTTCAACTTGGGAGAGGTATCTTGTCGTCTATGTCGGAGCTTATGCAATGTGGATCATTGGGAAGAGGCTAAAGAAAAGGTGATAGGTTGTGATTTAATATAAAATGAATTTCAGTAAAGTCTGTTTTGCTTCGGTTGTAACTTTGCACATTAGACTGTACACTTGTGGACAGAGCAAGGCTACTATAGTCATGTGAACAGTTGAAGTATAAGTTAATATACATTTAAGTTAGAAGGACAACACCTAATATACGAGGCGCGTCCTCAAAGTAAGTTTCCCACTCGTCCCACAGCTAGCAAACCTTATATTGCGCGAAGCGACTGTGCGTACGTGATAGAGCAATGACGTAGCATGGCGCATGCACTAACGGCACTTCCCGCGTTCTCACAGTAGCATCGTTGCAGCTGTTGAAGATGGAGGTTCTTATTCCAGCCCCCGCCGACTGTGAAGTGCGGTCAGTGATAACGCTAGGCCGCACACGGCTCGACAGACAGCAAGTCTCCTGCAGGAGTTCAGCTGGGAGGTGTTTAATCATTCACCCTACAGCCCGGACCTCGCTCCCAGTGATTTCCATCTTTTCCTACACCTCAAGAAATTCCTGTCCGGTCAGCGTCAGCGTCAGCGTTTTGAGAATGAAAGAGAGGCGGAGATGGTTGTCACACAGTGGTTCCAATCCCAGGCGGCAGACTTCTACGACACAGGTATTCAAAAGTTGGTCCCACGGTATGACCAATGTCTCAATTCCGGTGTCGAATATGTTGAAAAATAGCTGGACACTTGCTGTATCTGTTGCAATAAATATTTCCATGAAATTGTGTTTTGTTTCTGTAAACGGCCCCAGGGAAACTTACTTTGTGGACGAGCCTCGTACTTACTGTCATTGTTTACCCTACTGTTGGTGGTCACAAAGAGGAATGAACATTACACAGGAAATAGATCTTTATACTGTGCTTATTGCAATGATAAGATCAAAGATATGAAGATAGGCCACGTGTTAGGAGGCATAGACAAGAGGATAATATTAAAATTGACCTTAAGGACTATTAACTGGATTCAAGATGGAATAAAGGACAGCTTTTAAGGTGGTAATAAACATGTTGGTTACATGACAGTATGAAGTTTCAAAGTGAATAATTATCAACTTCTGAAGGGTACTTCCAGGAAGGAGTTATTCTAATAGTACATCTGTTTGATAATCTGAAGGTTATGAGTTTATTTTCCAGCCTGGGAGCACTTTTTTACTCAGTTATAATTAACCTGGACAGATTTATTACCATATTGTTGTACCTTTCAGACATAACTTGAAAGACAATGTCCGAGCTTCCCTGTATGATGCGTGCAATCACTGGATGAAGTCAATGGCAAAACAGGGGACAGAATTCATGGGTGGAGAGATGCCTGACCTCTCGGACCTGGCCGTGTACGGCGTTCTGAGCAGTATTGAGGGATGTGTCACGTTCCAGGACCTGCTACAACACACATCCATAGGGAAATGGTATTACAGCATGAAACAGAATGTACAGAGCCATGCTGGGTGCAGCATCATGAATGGCTGAAACTGAAGCATAGTTTCGTTACATGTACAGTAGATAATGTTCTTTTGTAATTTGTTAATACTCAAATTCCATACTACTGCTGGGGAGAATAAAACTGGTAAAATTAGACAGACTCAGGAAAATGTAAATGCTGTTTTGCAGCTTACATGTAAAAGTATGTCAAATGTAAATAAATTAAAATTAAAGCTTCATTGCAGTTATGTATAATCACTTTATGGCATATTTAACTCCATAGTATTTTACTTGATTCTCTGTGCTCATAGTAATCATGTGAAACTAATTAAAAGATTTGAAAATAAATTCTTTAAACCTACTGCAACATTTCTGGATAGGTATATTGCATCTTATGGTCAATAAATGCATTATTTTGTCCTTTGTCTGGTGACTTTCCACAACCTTTAAAATTACACTCAAGGGGGTAATTGTACTGGAGCTATCAGAGTATGCCAATAGGTTAAAATTTCTCTGATTGGAATGGCAGAAGAGGAATATGTATATCAAATCTAAAACTTCTTGACGATGGTGAAGAGTCAATTGAATAAAAATTTACTTGTATATTATCCATCGTCTAGTAATAAAACGTAAAAAACGTAAAACGACGTTTCGGAGATGGGGCTCTATCTCCGTCTTCAGGTTCCTACTCAGTTGGGCCCACTAGATAGAGCTAATCCCTATCTCCGGACAAATTAAAAAAGTGAAAGTCCCAGAATAAAAAGGCATAACCACACCATCCATCCGTGGGACGTAAAAGAATAGTATGTAGAAAACTAAATTCATAAACGCCAATAAAACCAGAAGACAAAAACTCACAAAAGGTGGGAATAAATACACATGAATATTAACTTGAAACTCGATGACCACCTTGGATTTCTTGAGAGATGTAGTTCTAATCTCTACGCGTAGACTGGGTCTATGCAGACTAAAGGAAGTATTTAATATTTGCTTCTTTGAAAAATCATGTTAAGATACCTTCACCGTTTCCCCATGCTCCTCCTATCTGATCCACCTTGATTTGATCACATTGATAATATTTGGTGAAAAGTGCACATTATGAAGCTTCTAATTTCCAGCTTCCTTTTAATTCCTCTCTTCTCTTCACCACCCAGTTCTCAAATGCCCTCAATCTGCTTGCTGCTAAATGTAAGTCACACACAAACATACAAAACCCTAGATAATAATGTGCGAGTCTTAATGAATTCTCTTCAAATTGCCAGTAAACCAGTCAGAAACTTACAGAACTTGTAACTGTTAAGCCAGGAACCACTGTTCACATGCAAGGTAACTGTTGATACATGAGACAGAAGCCTCTGTTTGCAACATCTCCACTAGTCAGTTCAGTATCGTCTGTTACGACGGTCAACACAAACGGCTTGGAAGAAGCTGCAAATAAGAACATGCCTATTAATACACAGACACAAAGTCACTTTGTATGAAACTTTCTTTTATTAAGACCACTATAGAAATTCCTGGCATCTATAGAAATATGTAAGACTTGAGGTTCTCACAGCGGTGAGTATGAAGATATCCGTCTTCTGGGTTATTGCGCTGTGTAGTCTGGTCGATGTTAACCAACGTTTCAGAGGTCATACTGCCTCCGTCATCAGGGCGATGAGTATGAAGATTTCTGTCTTCTGGGTTGTTGCGCTGTGTAGTCTGGTCGATGTTAACCAACGTTTCAGAGGTCATAATGCCTCTGTCATCAGGGCGATGATCAATAACCCAGAAGACGGATATCTTCATCTATAGAAATACTTTGTGAGTACAAGAGTGAGTGGATAAGTAGAATGAAATGTTATTTTTCAATTTAGTCAGAGCTTAGATGGTTATCACACTGATGAATTACCACACAGGTAAATTTGTTTAATAAATTTATACACAGAATACTTACTTGTAGTTGGCACCAGTGCATTGCCACAAAACCTATCGGTATCTAGGCTCATCGAATTTTGGGATGGATTTGGTATTACAATAAAATCAGTGGTACAGTCTATACCACTTTCAGCTACTGCGGCAGTTCCTGAAAGAAACACACAATTTTGAGAACATGCAACTTCTTTATAATCAATGTTAATCTTTATCATACAGGAATAGGTGTTTAAATCCACATTATGTGATGCTGCCAGCTGAACGTAAAAAAAGGCAGCTGTATTTATATTCTGTACATGCAAATTGGTCAGTGCTAAAGCAAAGGAAGAATCTGACATTGGTATGCACTCATAAAACATTCTGTATGCTCAAAATTTAACCTCATTTCTCAAAAAAACATGCCACTTTATCAAACTACGCACACAATATGAGTATAAAAAATTATTTAATTAAGGTTTGTAACAGTTAGAAGAATGATTAATTTAGTTGTTAAACACTTTGATGCTGAATATGATTGCAACATGTATGAAATAACAATTCAGTTAATTTATTCATGTGCTTGACAGTAGCCCAACAGTAATAACTACAGTACAATAACAATTATTATTACTGGTTACAGATTGCTTATTAACTGATATGAGTCTTAAAATATTCAGTAAGATTAATTTAACATGTTTTAAGAGCGCAGTTTTGTTATTTGACATTTACTGATGTCACAATTAAATGCACACTCACAATAACAAGTGCTGTAATTGTGATTGTGAATGGTGATCAAATGGATCATACTGATAGTTTTATATTTTTGTAAGATGACAGTACATATACGAGGCGCGTCCTCAAAGTAAGTTTCCCACTCGTCCCACAGCTAGCAAACCTTATATTGCGCGAAGCGACTGTGCGTACGTGATAGAGCAATGACGTAGCATGGCGCATGCACTAACGGTACTTCCCGCGTTCTCACAGTAGCATCGTTGAAGATGGAGTTTCTTATTCCAGCTCCCGCCGACTGTGAAGTGCGGTCAGTGATAAAGTTTTTGAATGCACAGAGCATAGCGCCGATCGAAATTCATCGTCAGCTGTGCCGGGTCTATGGGCCTAACGTCATGAGCAAGCATCCGGTGGCGAATATGTTGAAAAATAGCTGGACACTTGCTGTATCTGTTGCAATAAATATTTCCATGAAATTGTGTTTTGTTTCTGTAAACGGCCCCAGGGAAACTTACTTTGAGGACGCGCCTCGTACAATCTTTTACTCACATCGTAGATGTCATTATGGAAATAGAGGTGAACAATGCAGACTACAAGACTAGGTAGGTTTCAAAAAATATACTTTTTTGCATGGTCAGGAAAGGCTCAATCTGACAAATGCCTTTCCAGTGACTTGACTATTTCACTTACCAAGTAGACTGGGATCAATTCCGTCTGTGTCTCCTGACACAGTGAATGAGTATGGGTCGCTTGGATTTTGTTGCCATCGTATGCTGCAGTACCCTGGTGCCATCTGAACACATACTCCGTAGTTTGTGTTGGCAATCTGTCGTGTCCCATACATGTCTGAGGAGACAGAAAGTGTCAGGCTGTGCTTATACAGGAGTGTTCAAAATGAAAGTCATTTAAAGTCAATTAAAAGTTACTTGCTGGTTGTGAGTTAATAAATAAACTCTTGTACTTTTCAACACTAGTCCCTCTGTCTTGATGACTGCCATTATGAAAGCAAATGCTTGAATTCTAATTATTTGGCTGTTAATTAATCCAATAATGTTTTAAATACAAATAAAGAGACATGTTTATTAGACTTTTCATCCATATATTAATTAATTCTGAATATTGTTCTAACAGTGAATTGCCATAGCTACAGAAGTGCAATCTTATATATTAAAATTGTGAGTTGAAAATGAATTTTAGCCCTTTTCAGATGAAGATAAGAGATGCAAGCAGATTACAAGTATCAGAGATGAATTATACAATGCTGTTCCCTGGACACTGTTCATTGGCTGGAGTATTAATTATGTGTACGATGTTTTGCAGGCCAAATCAGAGTCAGAATGTCTGTATTAAAGTTGTTGTGCCGTGTAGTCTGGTAGAAGTTTACCGGCATTTCAGAGGTTATTGCCCTGATGATGGAGACAGCAAGGACCTCTGAAACGGTGGTAAACTTATATCGTACTACATGGCGCAACAACCCAGACTCACTGCCATGAGAACCTCAGATCCTACTAATATAAGTGTACTTTAAAGAGGAGACGGTACCTCTAGAAACGAGTATAGTATAATTATCTTAGTGTACGAGGCTCATACTTTGGCAAAGTTCATCATTAATAATTTAAAATTTTAGTTACAACTACAACCATAATTTATAAAATTCAACAAAAATATTGCTCAGTCCCAGGTTCTACTTCTAACAGTGTCTGATATCTCTTCCTGTTGTGGTTCTAAATTCTGCTCACTTCTTGCTATTCTTCTTCCAGTAATTATGCTGTGTTGTCCTATGACAAATATACAAGGTGCAAAGGATGGCTTTCCTACATTACTAGTACTAATGCTGCCTGCACCAGGAACAGTGATTAATTTGTACTACTTGTGGCATAAACCTTCGGCACAACATTCTGCTTTGATCACAAATATGAAATATACAACTCTCAGTTTTACATTACTTGCACATGCCTGTAAAATAAAGTGATGTGTCACTTACCAGTACCCCTACCAGATGGACTGTAGTTAAAACTCTTCACAGTGCCTTCCAGTGCTGTATAATACATCAGACAACCAGTTGGGGCTGTAAAAGACCATAAAAATAATTAGTGAGGAATAAAAACATTTTCTTCTGTATTTTAAATTCTACTTATTGACACACAGCGAAATCAAGTATTTATACACACATACAGGATATGTGGTTTAATAATTAAATAACCAGACTGTAAAAAACTATATGCCAGTATGATGGCTAAACCTTAGTAAGCATAGTCACCTTCTGAGTACTTGTCATCTGACTTTATTCACATATTTACATATCTCTGCCATACTTGAACACTGCTGGAATAATTTTCAAAAGCTGTTTCAGTTCAGTTCTGAATATGATTCAAAATTTGACTCTTACAAGGTTTATAATTTTGAGAACATAAGAAAGTCACATGGAATCAAATCGAGTTTACCATTGCCAACCATTAACCGTTTTTAGCAAAAAATTGTTTTACCGAAAGTGCTGTCATAAGGCACACTGTCATATGCAAACTTAACTTCAGACAAAATATGATCTTTTTCAGTGATGATCTGCTGCAAACATAAAATGCTTAGATGACCATAAAATAAAATATACCAAAAGAAGTTTGGAGGGAGAGACCTCTTGTGACATTTCAGGTTCTCACTGTGGCAAATACATCTTCTATGATGTAGGATTTGAGGTTTTCACGGCAGTGAGTCTGAAGATGGCTGTCTTCTGGATTGTTGCGCCATGTAGTCTAGTAGAAGTTTACCAACGTTTCAGAAGTCCTTACTGCCTCTATGATCGGGGCAATGACCTCTGTAACGTCGGTAAACTTGTACCAGACTACATGGCGCAACAATCCAGAAGACAGCCATCTTCACTCTTGGAATGTAACCACTTGGAAGCAGCCTGAGAAGAAGTAAGTAAAGTAAAGTAAAGTTTGTCCCACTATACGCCATGTAGGCGTTTGGGGGGAGTAGAGGTATAGCTCCTCTCTTCCTTGACCTCGGCACTAGGTTTACCCCCGGGAAAGGACCCCCGGTACCCATTGGATAGGAGGCTGGGTGGGCCCCAGAGCCGGTCTGGACGCAGAGGCTAGAGGAAAAATCCTCTGCCCCCGTCGGGGATCGAACCCCGGTCGTCCAGCCCGTAGCTAGTCACTATACTGACTGAGCTATCCCGGCTCAAAGCCTGAGAAGAAGACTGGAGAATAATAGTGATATGAATCTTGAAATAAGTTATGGTAAAATGGTTTGAAGCATAAACTTCAGGGTGTGGTCAGTTGGTGGGTATTAATATTCGCAATGTTAAACTTTCTTATTCTAATAAAAGATAATTATCAACACTGATAAATCAGCAACTCTGCTGCACATAAGTTAAAAATAATTAGTATTACTGGTTTTCTAGACTTTATCCATCATCTAGTATTTTCAGAAGAACAATGTTTTGGATATTGGATCTGTTTCCATCCTCAGGTGAAAAAGTGGGGAGTACCTCGATATTGGATCTGTTTCCGTCCTCAGGTGAAAAAGTGGGGAGTACCTACTAAGTTGAGTCCATTAGGAAGAGCACCTTTTCACTTTAGGAAAGAAATAGTTCCAGGTTCTGAAATGTTTGTGTTCTTAGAGTACAAAATAATAGTCAAAGTCCAAAACACTGGTAATACTAATTGTAATATGCCATTATCATAATCCTTTAACACTTAACAATAATTGCATACTTAAGTTTCAAAATACAAGTTCCAACCTCGCTCAGGATTGGTGCACTCTATTTGGGTGAGCTTAATATTCCAGTTGCGATTAACAGATACTGATGGGTCAGTTCTGATGCTGACTTGAATTGGTGTGTTGTCTGCAGGGAAATCCACATATACTGGAAAAAAAATAAACTTTTATTTGTACTGTTCTTCTTTATTTATGTGTCTGCTAACAATTTTAAAAATTTGTTAAGTAATCCCAATTGAAATTCAGTATTCAGTTTGTGCTCTTCATGGTCATGCATGCATAAATTTAACTAAATTTATCAACAAATTAAAAGTTTCTCATGATCAACAAGGACACGTACAAAGATGGTTATCTTTTGGGTTGTAGCAGTATCATACAAGTTTACCAACATTTCAGAGGTCCTCTCTGCTTCCATAATCAGGGTGATAAGGACCTCTAAAATGTTGGTAAACTTGTACCAGACTACATGGTGCTACAGCCCAGAAAATGATCATCTTTGGACTCACCGCCATGAAAACCTCAAATACTACAAAGGACATGTACAAATCTTACCATGTTCATTGGTGTTTTCACCGCAGATACGAGGTACAAAGGAAGCGCCACCTGCTATTTCAAGGTAATCATTAGTACAGACTCCAGTGGCATCTGGCTCAGAAACAGTGAAGTCAAGTAAGTCAACACGTAACTGTTAAGAGAAAAGACAGTTTTAAAAACCGCTTCCAGAAATATAAAGTAACATATCATAACACTGCTACTTCTGAGATGAGTAATAAATTTTGTAGCAAAAGAATTGCATGCATGGTCTGTTATTGAGTATTAACTTCATTCACACACACATAAAATTATTGTAAATCACAATTTACAATTTTAATTACATGATAACCACCTACAAGATGACAGTGTCAAAACCCAAAAGATCACAAATGACAAACACTAAAGAATTTTCTACAAAATTTATAGTTGGTGTAGTCAAATTGTCTATCTCATATGAATGATTCTATTCACATTACAGTAAACTTTCAGTAGATAACATGTTAGAAGGCCTGAAGTTCCATTCAATTTAAATTTTGTTCTAATCTGATTGGCACCTTCACTGCCATGAGCGTCTCAGATCTTTAATTTGGAAGCAAATGAACGCAAATTTTATCACCTGATACAAAATAATTTTTATTTCAGGGAGAAGACTCGTGATTTCTGTTCCAACTTCCTCTTGTCACTGGGGCCTCCTAATTTGTCACTGGTTTAACATTTACAACATTATCTATACATTATTTGAAACAACTTCTTAAAGATGTATGAAAAAAGTTTTACATGCTGTGGGAATAAACCAAAGATCCTGAAAAATTTATTTACAAAATTCGAGAAATAGACTGCAAATTGATTATTTTGCAAGTCAATGCCAGATCACGTGACGCCGAGGATATGAAGTCAAGGCATGCTACGCCCAGAGTCATGACATCGAACGTCGCGATTCTGAGGTTCCTGTCCCAACACAGAGCAAATATAGCGAATCTGAGCCATGTGAACCAATCAACACAAGGCTCAGTAATCAAGCGTCGCAGAGGCAAAAGACTCAATGACAATGCTGAACAAACCGACGCCAACCATCGCGGCGCTAAGACATCCAAAGATATGTTATGTAACGGCAAATCTTGTGAAGTCTAACGTCACAATGCCTATCGTCCATATGCCGACACAATTTTCAAATATAATTAAGAGGAGACACACCACACCATAAGAAACAACAACCCAATGCTAGTGTATTAAGGGTGAGCACAATAAGCAACCCTGAGCCAAGGAAAGCAAGGATACAAATACAAAGAAAGCCCAACCACGCGACACCATGCTTTGTCTTGTTTTGCTGAGCCACATCACAGACCAAGTCATTATCAACTGCAAAATTTTCTGTTTGTTTGGAAGAGTTTCTTTTGTTTCTTGTTACCTGGCAAATGTTAGAGTTACACTTGTAGACAGCAATACTGCAGCGTCCACTGCCAGTGTACACACTGGGGAAGCCAGGATTGGTGAAATATGTGCAGTTGAGGTGGGTAGATGAACCACACGACTTCTGAACTGCAAAAACATTAAGAATCTGCAATGCTCATATGTAACATTACAGCAGCTGGACACAGGAAATGCTCACTAGGACAGCCATATGATTCTTGCTCTCACATAATATTTATACTTTAAAAGCACAATTATGAACCAAGATAAGCATCAACTGCTGAAGATGGATTCTGTATGTAGTCCAAAGTTATTTTTTTAAGTCAGGACACTGGCAGGAAAGTGATTTCACATCAGTATCCTACAGTTCTATCATCTTAACTAGATCTCTGTATGACACTCATCACCATGCTTACTGATGCAGCAAGTGCCCCAGTTCCGAGCACAGCTCCCAGATGCTACACCACCTGCATTAGAGCATTCCTTCCTTGAGAAGCATGTCCCATACTGCCCATTGGTTCCAGTGCACTGTACATTCTTGAAGCGGATTAAACTGAAGAATGGGAAGACTTGAAACACAAGCAAAATAACATTCATGGGTAATCAATGCTAACAATATCAGCCCTTATTCTGTTACTGAAGACATACACAACTGATTTATTATTGTAGCTAACAGAAATAATTCTTACTGTTCCAACAGTTTATTTACTTTGTACATTTAATGGGTACTGCAGATAAAGCAGGTGTGCATGATCTGTTGACTCTCCTCGATGAAGCATCTTCATGGTGTGATAATTAAATGCAAGCATGTGTGTGCATAATGTGGTGCCTAATTAAGCACAGGGAAAACTTTATTCTTTACTTGGCTAATTAAATAACACAATACCATCTCTTTACTTATATATTCCATATTATAATTTACATATTAAAAGAGACAATGAAAGAATATTTAAGTTCAAGCCAAGGAGTAATGAGCCGGCATAGATCAGTCAGTATAGTGACTGGCTATGGATTGGACGACCAGGGTTCGATCCCCGACGTGGGCAGAGGATTTTCCTCTAGCCCCTGTATCCAGATCAGCTCTGGGGCCCACCCAGCCTCCTAACCAATGTGTACTGGAGTCCTTTCCTGGGGGTAAGGCACAGCCAAGGTGTGATGCTGACCACTCACCCCCATCTAGTGCCAAGGTCAAGAATGAGTAGGAGCTATGCTAACTCTCTCCCCCCCCCCCCCCCCCAAACACCTACATGGTGTATAGTCAGACAGCTTTACTTTACTTTTTTATGGAGTAATGTTTTGTATTCTACAGTAACTAACTTCATGAAGCAACCGTTTTCAAGAAACTGATAGTGGCATTTAGCAGGATAGCTTTAATAGTATATGGTGAAGATTACAAACTATGGAGCTCATCATTATGTAATATTCTTCAGCCATCCATCACTGCATCCCTTTTAGGTCCAAATATTCTCAACTTTTGTTCTTCCTTTAACATAAGAGACCAGGTTTCACACCCATACTGAACAATAGTAAAATTATAGGGTATTTTTATATTGTAATCTTCATGTTTTTAGATAGATTAAAGATTCTGAACTGCATGGTAGAAAGAGTTCCATAAATTTTATCTGCTCTTTGTTTCCTCATGATGGTGTTCCACAGTATTCATATTAATTGCTTTCCATCCTCATAAACCTATGGATTAGCAGGATAGTGATAGGGAATGTCGCAGGACTGAACTCAAGTCTTTGTGGTTGGTGAGAAGGAAACATCTAATCAAAAGCCATGAAACAGCTTACAGAGAACTGCAAATACTATAATTAAAAAACCTATAACACTGGTTGCCTATTATTATGGGAGGATATTCTTTGATTGTATCCATTGTTTGGTTAATTTAATTTATTAAATAAGGTTAATAACATTTTCAACCAGGTAAAATATAGGCTACCTACTCTGTGGAAGCACAAAGTTAATTTTCAACAAACCATTGAAAAAACAGACGCCCTTTCCTTTCACCTACAAACAAGGATAAATGCAGCTTCTAAAATGTGATAAACCTTCTTCTATAAACTCAGATAACCTAGGGGTAATATAAAATGAAACCATTCCCATGTCCAAAACAAAATCCATTCATCCATAGTAGCTAGACAGACATGTGCTTACATTTAACTGTTCTACCACTTATACAACTTACACCTATCATGACGATCCATTGCAGCCTTATTTTCCAAACTGCTGTCTATCCAAGTGGTCTGACTGGCCCAATCATCATCAAATGTCAGCCCCCTAGCAGTGCAACACAGCACCAGCAACCACAACAAAGACATCACACTCGCTAGGTTCGTAGACAGTTGAGAAGTGAAGCACCCAGTTCATTGTCACATATCCTGAGGTTGTTTACACATTCTCACTAATTAGTATAACTGGAGCTGTTTTTAACTCTATTTAGAACATAACTGTGCCTTATCCTTCATTAAGTGTACCTCCTGGCCTCATTCTATTCCCAGATACAGTTAGGATGGACCAGGGATATTTCATGAACTGGAAAGACAGTAATTGCCAAAACATGATCTAACATCTAACATAAATGTAAAATATTAAGTTTACATACATTTCTTTATAGCAGAACCAAGGGGGTTAGCACTGTGGTAACATATTAAGGATGTACTAGGTTCAAATTTCATTGGAATTTGGCTATAAGTTATTATTTTACTCAGTACATTTGGAAAATGGCAGTATAAACCCTTGAAACAGAAAATTACACAGCTAAGGTGAATGAAGGACATCTGTATAACTGATAAGATGTGTGGTCATGATGTTAACAATGTCTATGAACCTTAATGTCAACTTATGCATGACATCACATTTTAAATTATAATACACTTAATTATAGAAAGAACATGCAGATTATCACAGTAACATTTCCTTCTCACATTCAGGGTTTCTTACCATATTTTTAGTGCTTCAGTCTCCAAAACCAGCTTTAAACTGTATACCTCTATCAATGCTACATAACCTTATAATCAGTAACAAATAAATATGTAAATAAATAAATGATATTATACTTACATGAACACATGTTTAAAGAAGGAGACTGCAGTCTGCCACCTTAACCTTACTGCCCGACTTCTCACAGCTAATACTGATATCCTGGTATCAGTTTAAATGTAAATAATATGCAATTTAAGGTATATCATTGCTCTATTTTCTAGGATGCAATAGATTTTTAAAATACAGGTACTATTAAGCCCCAGTTTTCTGTTATAGTTTAATCATGACTATAGATATTACTCATAAGATTATAAATGAAAAAGGTTATTCGGATATTATTAGATAACTATCTCAATTTGTTATTTTAGCAGAGAAAAAGATTCAAACAAAATTTCTGAACTCATTCATTATTCCAAATCACAGCAAATTCAGTGTTCAAGTCGTTAGTGAGTTTCAATTATAAAGACCTACAAAATATATCTACATCTTCCATTGCTACCACTAAAGCTGTAAATTCGGAGTGTATTAAGATATTTAATTTTCTGTGTAAATATTTTTAACAATACTACAGTATCCAAATAAGAAAGGAAAGAAATTCAATTTTGGATGGGTACAAAAGTAAATGTTGCAAGGTACTTTCAAAGGCTCTAGGTGTTCTATTATGTGTATATACTTTTGTTACTTAATTTCACAAATATTAAAATGAAACTTAGAAACAAATAAAAATGTTTATGGTAGTAATACAAAAAAAAACTTCTTTAAAAATTATTTCATAATACAACATTTTATAAGAAACAAGTAAAATAGAGAGCTATATGTTTGTATTACAAATTATAAAAAAACATATAATAAAACTAGAAAAAAACCAAAAATGCCACAGGATTAAATATTGTCTGGAAACACAACACATTGAAAGCTCCTCACAGTTCTACACTGAGTTAGAAAATTTTCAGCCAAGTATGTTTAAAAACACTGGTTGTATAAGTATTTGTTATGTACTGTTAAAACAAAAAGCAACAGTTATACTAGTTTCATGATGTATCATTTACAAATGGTAACTTTAAGATCTTTTCCAGTATCCCAGAGACAATTTTGACTACATTTGGGTATAGGAATACTCATCCAGCTATCAACCCAAAAACACAGAAATGGACCACTCCAAGCAGGGTTTTAACAACCATGCTTCACTATCTGCCATTCATTGTTTGTGTGATACTACATTCATTCAGTTCCCAATCATATTCACTTGTAATCATTATTCAGTAATTGAGACAGAGTATCCCTAGGAGGCATCCCAGTGCTGGAGCACTGGAATTTCTTGTAATCACATAGCAATGTCAAACACAAGCAACATAATGTACAGAGAAGGGAGCGATAAGCCCTCCCAACATCATTGAGATAAACTATGTAGTACAAAAATCAGAATTAATGTCTTGTTTAATTTCTGACCAATATGAGACAGAAACATCAGGCTCTTTTAAGTCAGTGCATTTTATGAGATGTTTGTTATTTATTCGAACTTGAAAGTGTAAAGCCATTATTAAGTTTATGAGAACAGCCTCATATCATTACTCATACCTATTTCTTTCAGCTTGGAATTGCATGACAGAATATCCAGGCACTTTCAAGACTACACCTCCTCTCATAACATATATTTGTTAACTGCATATCTTGATAATAATGGCTTTGGTGTATTTAAGAGTTTCGATCAGGCGAATGTTCATTAAGAGTGACCACAATGGCAGTGAGTATTTGTGTACAATAATGCCCATTTCAACAGAAAACCTTTCAAAGTCCCACAAATCTGTTTAAGCACCAGGATTGCAACAATATCTTAACATCTCAGTCAGGAGTCTTATAGCTGAAGGAAGGTACATGATAATTTATGATGTGACCAATTAACTAACTAACTAGATGGCTTACCGAATCCAAAGGTTCATCACCGAAATAACCAAAGGCTCCATCAGACTCTGTCCTGGGCCAACAAAATCCAGCCTCCTTCAACTCCTATCTCCCATAGATCCCGCCTGAGATTATCCTCCCATCTACGTCTAGGTCTCCCCAGCGGTCTCTTCCCCTCAGGCTTCCCAACCAATACCCGGTGCACACCTCTTGTCCCATCCATGCGCGCTACACGCCCAGCCCATCTCATTCTTCTCAACTTAATCACCCTGACAATATTAGGGGAGTATTACAGATTTTTAAGCTCATCATTATGCAGTTTTCTCCATGCCCCATCGTCTTCTCTCCTAGGCCCAAATATCCTCCTCAACACCCTATTTTCAAACACTTGCAATCTGTGTTCCTCCCTCTGAGTGAGAGACCATGTTCCGAACTCATACAAAACAACAGACAAAATTATTGTTTTGTATACTTTAATTTTCAGGTCCTTAGAAATCAAACAGGAAGACTAAATATTTTGAACTGAGAAGTAGCAAGCATTTCCGGAATTTAGTCTCCTCCTAACTTCCTCATGATAATCATTTTGATTTGTTATTGTTGTTCCCAAATATTTGAACTTTGCAACACTTTCAAAGGATTTATTAGCCACCCTAAGATAATTCTGCCCGCCTGTCTTCTGACGACGAGATACCAACATGAACTTAGTTCTTTCTGAATTCACTTATAGCCCCACCTGTCTACTAGCCTCTAGTAAACCATACATGGACGGCATATTCTACATATATCATCCCACAATAAATTAACATCACCAAATAATACTGCATGACTTTGGGTGGATTTCTCTTGAAACAGTCTAAAAAGTCTGTTAGAAACTTCCAGAACTTGGAACTATTAAGCCAAGAATTGTAGTTTATGTACAAGGTAAAAGTAAAGTAAAGTTTTTCCCACTATACGCCATGTAGGCGTTTGGGGGGAGTGGAGGTATAGCTCCTCTCTTCCTTGACCTCGGCACTAGATGGGGGTGAGTGGTCAGCATCACACCCCGGCCGGCTTTACCCCCGGGAAAGGACCCCGGTACCCATTGTAGAGGAGGCTGGGTGGGCCTCAGAGCCGGTCTGGACGCAGAGGCTAGAGGTAAAATCCTCTGCCCCCGTCGGGGATCGAACCCCGGTCGTCCAGCCCGTAGCTAGTCACTATACTGACTGAGCTATCCCGGCTCATTTATGTACAAGGTATCTGACGATAATTCAGACTAAAGCCCCTATTTTCATTGTCTTGATCTGGCAATTCAGCAGCATTTGTTACTACAGTCAACACGAATGGCTTGGCAGAGGCTGAAAATAAAAGAAGCTTATTAATACACAAACATTAAACCAATGTCAATGTATTTTACTTTAACTGTACTGCTGTCATATGAAGATCAGCTGCAGCAGGGTTTTTGAAACTGAGGTCCATGCATTACCTAAATGTGGTTAGTGACAGTTAAACATTGCATTGCATGGGAATCAGCTTGACCAGTTATCAGACTATATTCTGTTGGCAATTTTCTCAGAGTACTCTGTAAACAGAGGAAACTTACTTGTGGTTGGCAACAGTGCATTGCCACAAAATCTGTCGGTGTTTAGGCTCATTGCATTTTGGAATGGATTTGGTATTACAATAAAATCAGTGGTACAGTCTATACCACTTTCAGCTACTGCGGCAGTTCCTGAAAGAAAGTAGGTTTATAATGAGCACATGCAAATTTCAGTATGATTGATGCTCAACAGTCTGAGATATCCACATTATTTTTCCATCTCTGACTGGAATGCCAGAAAATGGAGCTGAAGTTCATTTCTCTACATGTAGACTGGGTCTGTGCAGTCCAAAGTAAAATGTACCATCAACATGCACTCATAAAGCTCTCTTTAAGGTTAAATCAAGTTTTGCAAAAACACTACAAACGTTACTGCATCCAACATATGAACATGACAAAAAGAAATTTATCTCATGAAGATTTTTACTTTTTTATGAAACAATTGTATAATATTACAAATTACGTATCAATCCTCTTGACACAATATTTCATTTTGTGTCCCCAGAATACAACATACAAAATTAACTAAATATGTTCAGATCTATTACAGAACTTGAGATTCATCTGGTACACAATAAGTTAACTATATTAAAATCTGTCTAGAGACCTTATACAGTTACAGAAGCAGGTTATATACCATTTAGGCCAGAGGTCACACAGCCCTAAAGTTTTACATTAGCCTGGAAGAAGAGCCCTCTGCTACTTACTGGACTGCATTTAATTCAAGTGAAATTACATTGGATAAAGAAATTCATATAATACGTCTCTGTTTGAAGAAACGAAAAGACAGAGAAAAATTAGGACTCGAGTATTTAAATCTTGGTATTACAGGTCTGCTGACTGACTTTGATTTTGGGGTTTAATGTTTTGTATTATGCTACTTAGATGTGTAGCCAGTTGGACTATGTACAGCCAATAAAGGTTACTGTCACTATGTACAAAAAAGGTGACAAAACTAATAATCAGGACACTGAATACAAGTAATCCTTCAAAATAAACAACACTAAAAAACTAACTCCATGGAAATATGTATAAAAGAATGAACTTAAGAAATGACATATGGGTACAAAATGTTGTCACTTACTTTGAGGGAAGAACATAAATTATAAGTATTTGAAAACAATGGACTCAGGAAATATATGGACCTGAGAGAGTTACAGAAGACTATAGCAGGACAATTACTTTCTTTTTTGGTCATCAACAAAGGTTGAACCATGATTAGTAAATACCTGTGCATTCGCATGACTATTGTACTTACCAAGATCAGATGGAAGAATTGCATCTGTACCTCGCGTCATAGTGAAGGAGTATAGATCACCCGAAGTTTGTGTCCACTCTATGCTGCAGTACCCACTTGCTGCTCGAACAAACACTCCATAATTTGTGTTGATAATCTGTCGTGTCCTGTCCATATCTGAGGTGACAATAAGTGTGTGGCTGTATTTATCTTTGTGGATGATAAGAGTGAAACAATAATACATGGCCTTGTTTATTTCGTCACTATTATATCATGGCATACTTCAATCGCTTACAAAAATAAGATCCAGTTATAAAAGTCCTAAGGCTTCACTCATAATCATAATGTTGCACTGATGGGATTCACAAAACTATGAACCATTAGTAGTTAATTATTCACTAACACTGCCATCATGACAGCTGTAGCAACATTACATGATGTCAAGTACCATGTCTTATTGTAATGAGATGAGGAATGTCTTGTATGAATAGATTAATTATTCACTAACTCATTTATTGAAAGTCATATAAATTTGAAGCACTTGCACTCTTCCAGAATTAAGCCTCAGTGGACAGTATAAAATATTTACATTTCAGGAAGTATTTGTTTATTTGTTTAAATCTTGTCAGTCTAATCACAATAAAATTCCTATTAAATATTAAAATATTACTATAATTAACATTTAAATATTTAAAATATATTAAATGATGTTCTCATCGAAATGTTCGATTTACATTAGATCATCACTTTTTACACGACATGTTTCAGTTCTAAAAGAACCATCTTCAGGTGTATAAAATTATATAAACTTAAATATAATT